GCTAAAAATAACCCCCAAGCCCAAACAACAACAGCAAACCAAACCAAACAGCTCACTCCTCTGCTTTGCCAGCCTCCCCGTCACACATTTGTTCGTCATAGCGGCATTGGGAGCTTGGTGTGTCCAACAGTGTACCCTTTTGCCCAAACATTTTTCTTTGAAAATGTGCGTTGCAGTGAGCTGTTGGTCAGGTTCCAGGCCCCTGGCTTCTGGTACACCATTTGAATACTGGACTCTCATGGAGGTTCCTCTCCTGGAGACATGGAGATCTACAGTTATGGTTCCGAAGGACCAGTCCCTTCATGAGCTCCCTAGCTCATGGGCGCGGTAGATACTGGGGAGTGCCAACTCAAAACCTTGCATGTGGGCCTGGTTGGTAGCTGGGTTACTTAACCTGGGCTTCCACTAGGACCACCCTCTCAGTTGAAGTGCAGGGCATTCTCTTCCTTCAAGGCACTTCTGCTCCCAGGCTACCACCACAGGCTCCAGCTGGCAAGGGGCGGGGCCAGCTCTCCTGCCTCCAGCCCCTGCTGTGAGAGGGCGGGGCCAGCGAGGGGTGGGCCTGCCCAGCATGGTCCTCAGACATCAACATGGGTTTAGGCAGCTGTCCAGACCACGGGCATCCCCATTGCCTTTGGTGGTAACATGGTCGTGGACAGCAACACAGACCCGGGTTGCAGTAGGGTTATGCACGCAGACATGGTCCTCAGCGGCAGCAGAGGCACCGACGTCACATACATAGCCCCGGGTGGTGTAGCACAGGCCACGCCCATCAGCCTGTTCCTCACAGCCAGTTCTAGCTCTCGCCACACACAGTGCATGAAGCACTCTGCTTCTCTTTCTCCCCCGTTTCTCCACCACGCATTTGCTCATCGTGTGGAGCCTGTTGGCTCGAGGCAGTGGGCAGGCTTCCCCCTTGCTGCTCCTTGACTGACCGCTTACCTTGACGTCACTGTCGGAGTTTGGAGCACCGAGGTACCACCTCAGTGGGCTGGGGAGATGGCTCAGGGTTAAGAGCAATGGCTGCACTTGCAGGGACCTGGGTTCATTGCTAGCACTCACATGGCAGCTCATAACTGCCAGTAACCTGAGTCCCAGAGGGTCTGACGCCCTCTTCTGGACCCCAGGGGCTCTGCATTCGCGTACATGCACACAAAACACTGTACACATAAAATTAGAGTCTTTTTAAAAAGACACCGCCTGTTAAAAAAAAAAGTACCACCTTAGTGACTGTGAAGTAGCATAGCGTTTATCGGTCTTCTCAGGTCCTGTCTTCCTAGTCTGTTATATTTATGAACATGCGTGTGTTTGTGGGAGCTTGAATAGGCTTCCCAGTAGATATTAGAAACCCTAAGGACAGTTTCTTAAAAAATAGTTTTGTTAAAGCTGTATGTCACTGAAGTTTTTAGAACAGTAATGTAGCTTACACTAATATATTAAGCAACATAGTAACCAACTTTGTCTTTCCTGCCCCTCAAATCAGTTTCAAAGAGTAACGATGCCCGTTCAAGGTAAAGTGGGTTTTTCAGAGAAGCACAGGAGGGACCTCAGAGTTTCCTCCTCATGTCTTGCTCCTCAGTTTGTTGCATTTGTAACCTGACAATTAGCCACGCCTCAGTTCCCATCCCGTCTTCCTGCTCATCGGTTGATTTCACCTGATGGGTGGGCGGAGCAGTGCCCATCAGGAATCCCCTGCCGAGCCATTCCCCACCGCTCGTCTTCAGAGGTGATCTGTGTGGCTGCTCGCGGGTGCTTCTCATCCATCCACACCCCACCTGCTCACCGCCGCCCTTACTGGAAGTCTCATAACGCAATATTCTTAAACTAAATGCATCAGGTAGATTTGGGATTTAGTCTTGGCCCTGTTTTTCTATGTGACTTTGGACTTATGTGTTAATCTGCCTCAGTGCACTTGAAAAGGGCTGCTAGCAGAGCGTGCTGTGGAGGTGTAACGAACATTTAATGAGGCCCTGCATGAGAAGCACTATGTAGTAAGCACTCAGTTGGTATTTTTATTACCGCTATCACTAAGACGTAAGCCACTCTCCTGACTGCTTACGTGGGTTCTGGGGATCCGAACTCCAGTCCTTGTGCTTTCTTGGCTGGGAGTCAGAATTGTGAATGCTCCTACATTAGACCACACAACATTGGACTCAAATGCTCCTCTCATAGCCCGTGAACCTTGAGTCAAAGTAGGTGGCCAACTGCTTGTAACAAAGGCGTTTCCTAGGGTATAATATTTTTCGATTAAACCCAGAGCAGCCTTTGATAGACTGGGGTGACCTAGCACCTCTCCCCCTTCCTGTCCCTCTTTCTGTACTTCCCATTACTTCCCTCTCCTCCCGTTATTCTCCCCCACTCTTTCCTCCAGAAAAAGGATCAAAGACCCGAAGGAGGTGAGGGAGATGGAACACACATTTGCAGAGCATAGGACAGGAATGTACTTGATATTTTCACTAATTCATGGGGTTGGGGCTGGAGAGATGGCTCAGCGATTAAGAGAACTGCCTGTTCTCCAAAGGTCCTGAGTTCAATTCCCAGCAACTACTTAGAATTGAGCTCTCTCTAGCATGCATGCAGACAGAGCACTCATACCTAAAAATACATATATAAATAAATATTTTTTTAAAAAAGGAAAAAAAAACCTAAAGAATTCATGAGGAGACCAATGTTGCTGGCACAGAATTAGTAAAGTGGAGATTAGACAGTCTCAGTGAGGCCAGTGCGGTAATGTGTAGCAAAATTATATAGAGCTTTGCAGGTCTCTTGCAAGAGACAAATGATTAGAGTGTGAGGTCTTCTATTTTAGTAAGACCATTTGTACACATGTGGCTACTGTGTTGACAAGATGCCGAAGATGGAGGCAAGGCAAAGTCATACCAGTTAGGAGGCACTTGGCAATAATTTAAAGCAAGACATGTTGCTGGCTTAGTCTAGGGTGATATGAGTGAATGTGATGGGTTTTCTAGCTCAGAGGTGGCCAACTTTAAAGAAACCAAAATACCCTACGTTTATTTATTTATTTATTTATTTATTGTGCATGCGCGCGCGCGCGCGCGCACGCGCGTGTGTGTGTGTGGCATAGGCGGGAGGTCAGAGGACAGTTTGTGGGAATTGGTTTTATCATTCTGCCATTTGGGTCCTAGGGATTCAACTCACGTTGTCAGACTTGGCAGCAGGCAACTTTACCTGCTGAGCATCTCTCCAGCCCGGCTGCCTTCCGTCATTGTGATGCGATGTTGCCATTTACAAGTGTGTTGGGCTGCATTCATCACTATCCTGGGCCATAGACTGCATATGCTGTGCCAAATAGTTTGTGGTTAGAAGCGGGAGAAAAAAGGTCAGGGATGACTTCAGGGCTTTTGTCTGGGAAAATAGTTAAGTGGGGTTTACTAAGATGAGGAAGATTATGGGAAAAGGTTTGGGGGAACTGGGTTAGGAATTCACTTTTGAGTAAACTGAAATAATGCTCACCACACATTCATTTGGGGGAGATGTGAGTCTGAAGCTTGAGGAGAGGTTAGAGGTGGAAATAGAAATTAGGAATATGTTTGTGTGTTTGTAGAGTCAAGCTGAAGTCAAGAGCATATGAGTGAAAAAGAAGGTGACCAAGACCAGAGTCTCATCCTAGCCAAGCACTCAAAGAGCCCAGGGTTTTAATTACCATCCTATATTGTCTCCACTGCTAGTAGTACTTGACTCATTTAAAAACTGAGGCCTGCAGCTGCCCTCCCTCCCAGGCTTTGGGGAAAGAAAATATATAGCATACATACACATGTAAGTTACAATCCAAAGCAGTATATGAGTACATGCCAGTAACTGTCAAGGACTGCAACTTCATGTGTCTTACAGAGGGAAGCATTGCTTCACATAGAAATGACTGACAAAGGCCTGGCGGGGCCTTAAACAAGAGGCAGGGTTTGGGAGGAGCAACCATCTCCAGGTCCAAAACTGTGGGAACGACTGCTGGGTTCTATCAGGTGCTGTGCTCGCAGTTCGGCTTGGTATTGTAAGTGGATACTTCTACAGTTAGCAGTGGGGAAGGCACAGAGGGCAGGGAGAAGAGGTCCAGGGATGAGCATCTGTTTGTCTTTCCCTAGCGGCATTGTGTGGGCAGTCCTTCCTCTATTGTCAGTTAGTGACATCACTCAGGCCTTGATGGCCAGAGCTTTTATTAGGGTACAGTCGTGAGAATGGGACTAATTGCCTGTGTGGATCTGGCTCACTGCCCACCTTGCTGACCTTGGTTTTCAGCCTCTACTTTCATAGATCTTACTGTTAAGGTCTCCATGCCAACAGACAAGACATTATAGAGTGTTCACTCCCGGAGCCAAGGACAAGCCTACCGCGTAGTAAAGGGGTTGAGCTTCGCCCTTTCTGGGCATTAGCATGAACTGAACTTTGTACCACATTTGCAATGCTGTGGTAACCACAATATGATTCTGTTCTTGAGGATGCCAATTTTGGAACCAGAGGGCCAGGATGCATATTCTACTCATAAATCTTGCATTGTGGAATTTATGGTGAATAAATGTATCCACAAAGTTATTGTGAATAATGTGTTCAAAAGCAAGGGTAATAACAATATCCATTTTATAGGCCTTTTGTGAAGATGGAAGAGTTGCTAGACAACTTTTAGAACATGTTCTGACACATAGCAATGCTGTGAACGTTATGTTTTTCTTACTCACACCATTGATGCAGTTTTCAGCCTTAGTATGCATGTTAAAGACTAGTATTGGGCCCACATCTCCCAAGCCCCAAGACTTCTATTTCTGGACACCTAAGAATATATTTAGAGGGCTTCTCAGTCTTTGAGTGTTAACATACTCAAAAAGAAATCAAGTATTTTCCTTTAAAATTATTTCTAATGACGGTAATAACTGTCCAATTCATTTACTTGCTTGGAGACTAAATCTGTAGTTGCTATAAAGACTGTGCTTAATAGGAAAAACTTGTGGTGAACTGAGGAGTTAATTTTAGTTTTCTTTTGCATACAGGTCTGTATATGATGATCAAACAAACGGGCACAAGAAATTTATGGAAAAGCTAGATGCTTGTATCCGCAACCATGACAAGGAAATTGAAAAGATGTGTAACTTTCATCATCAGGGCTTTGTAGATGCTATTACAGAACTCCTTAAAGTAAGGTCTGATGCGGAAAAACTGAAGGTAGGAGATACTTTCAACTTCGCTTTGCCTTTACTCATTAAGTTACGTAATACTGCAGTGCCTTGGCCACTGAGTGCACTTTCAGGAAGTAAACGGTACACATAATTGAGAATGTTCCCTGTGTTCCACGAACACAGTTGTCAGCACTAGTGGCAGGAATGCTTTTTACCTACTAGGCTGTCTTACGTGCAGGAAATGGGCTAAATGTGCAAACAGGGAAAGGCCTATTTGCAGTTTTAGGATAAAAAAAAAAACGGTGATACAATAGTGTTAAAAAGCCATCCTCTCCATATCCGGGCTGCAGTAGTATCCCTCCATAGGGAATGGGCTGGGCCCTCCCCCAAATGATGTGACGGATTTTGGTGACCCCCCCCATGGAGGGTCTCACTATCCCTGGGGAGTGGGTGGGTGGTGGGTTGGGGGGTTGGTGGGAAGCATGGGAGGATGGGAGGGCGAGGGAATGGGGGGACGGATATGTAAATAAGAGTGTTTCTAAAATAAAACAACAACAACAAAAGAATCTAACCCCCCCCCCCAAAATTGTCCTTACTGGGTAGTGGTGGTACACACCTTTAATCTCAGTACTTGGGAGGCAGAGGCAGATGGATCTCCGTGAGTCCAAGGCTAGCCTGGTCTACAGAGTGAGTTCCAGGACAGCCAGGGCTGCACAGAGAGACCCTGTCTTGAAATACCAAGGAAAAAAGTGTTATACTCTAAAGTTATAAAAATTTACTATAAATGATTATGTGCTGTTATTTAATTATGCTGAAAAATTTGTTAAAGAAAGTTGCTCACATATCCTGCCCCTATTGGAGGCATTATCTATTAAAGTAGGCCTGAATTTGTTCAGTCAGAATATAAAATATTTAATTATAGGAATTGTCTTGTCTTTTCATTAAAAGTGCTTATCAGGCAGAATCCAAAGATTCTGATTAAGAAGGCCGTCATATAGAGGATATTCAGATAACAAGAGACCAGGCACAGCATCAGTGAGGTCACTGAACATCTCTGGTCTGCAGCTAATGAGATTTTTAATAAACGAGCATGTGCTTCCTCATACGATGACCTAATGAGTCACTTAGTATGTGGGAAAATCCAAGCTGAGCTTTGGCTGCACCTGCAGCTTGAACATGTTGCTGTGAGTTGAGGTTTCTGTGTTTGATGTTAATCAACCTCCCAGGGTTTGCATTCAGAAAATATGAATGTTTAATTACCGTAAAATGCAATCGCCATTTCCTAAAGATGGTGAATGGCACATAGACCTCATTGAAGTTATCAAAAAGGGACCAGTGGTCAATTGGGTCAGTGATTTGAATTGTTTGACAGACTCAGAAAAGCAAGTAAAGTTCAAAAATCCTGAGTAAATTTGAGAAGTTTGCCACAGAATCTGTTAAAAAGAGCTGTCATAACCAATTGAAGTTAACAAAAGTCCTTTTCAATCAAAAGTTCAAGTTCAAGCTGTAGAGTTAATTTGAATTTGCATTTCTTTGTTCTGAGTTTCTCATGAAGCATGATCTGATTACAAGGGTGAGCAGTTACATCAGGGCAGCTTTATGCACGTCTGTCTAACTAGGTGAAACTATTTTTAAGGTGCAAGTGACAGATACCAACCGAAGGTTTCAAGATGCTGGAAAAGAGGTAAGAAAAGGGTGGATGGATGAACGGGTAGATGGGTGGATGGATGGATGGAAAGAGGGAGGGAGAGAGAGAACTCTGTATATATGGATGTCATTTAATTTTAAAATTGTCAACGCCTTTACTTTCTAAGGTGATAGTACAAACAGAAGATATCATTCGATGTAGAATTCAGCAGAGAAATATTACAACCGTTATAGAGAAATTGCAGTTATGCCTCCCAGGTGAGTCAGAGTGCGTGTCATATGTTTGGTGTGGTAAAATTACAGTTCAATAATACTGCATAGTCATCATCTCTCTGGGAATTCCAAATTATTGTGTTTGCTCCCTAGCAATGCCTGTGGTTGCCTTTCATGTTTGTCCCTTTTCTGGATTTCCATGAGTTTTAGAAAGTAAATGTTTCCATTTCACCTGTTTCTTAAACATCTTTGCATTCTTCTCTGCCTAGCTGGCTATTTGGATCACCTCACCACCAAAACCCCATCTCCATGTTTGTCTGCTTTCCCTCAGGGAGAGTGTCTTTTAGTTATGTTTTTTCTGGTCTTTATCTAATCTGTTGATTTTTTTTTAACTTCTAGTTTTCCCATTGTTTTCTGTTTGTCACTTAATAGGTTGATTTTTCTTTGTTCACATTCTCATTTTGCAGATAAGGTAAGGAAGCATTATAAACACTAGGCCCTTTTGCCTCTCCTGATGTTTTTTGGAAAGACTTAGTTCCTGGTTTGACTCAGATTACTGGGATATCACATAAATTCTCAAGAACTAACCAATACTTTCTTTTTTTTAATTTTTTTTATTTTTCAAGACAGGGTTTCTCTGTGTAGCTTTGGAACTAGCTCTTGTAGACAAAGCTGGTCTTGAACTCACAGAGATCCGCCTGCCTCTGCCTCCCAAGTGCTGGGATTAAAGTTGTGTGCCACCACCGCCTGGCCTACCAGTATTTTCTTTACCTGGACTTACTGCATTTTAAGTTGGATGCATCCTGTTCAAATAAAGTCACTTCTTTTTTTTCTCATTGTCAGTGAAATTCATCTCAGGGTCTGGTTTAACTTTTATTTCCTCTTTAGGAAGAAACCTAACCTACCATATCCAGGGAAATAGAATACCATGTATATATTCTATTTATGTGATAGAAATTTAGCTTAGAATATAAAAGATGTTGTCAACATTGTCAGCAGTGAAGATGGGGTTTAAATGAGTCCACCAGACCCAAGATAAATGATAATTAGGTATTTATTAGGGAAGCACTTACACAAATAATAGTAAATAAATGCTGTGGTCTTCCTACTCCAGAAGATGCAGTCTTTGCCCTTCGAATGCTCTCACCGCAACCCAAGAGAGCATGAGCCAGCCCCTCCTCTACCTTATAAGGGGTCACGTCTGCACACCTGAGTCCACGCCCACAGGGTGTGGTCACCACCAAAAGTTCACTGGCAAAGCAAGATGCTACTACACAGCAATTTTTATTGGCTATGATAAATATACTGTTTTCTCACTTACTGAGAATAGCTTTTCTTAGAATTCCTACAAGTCCACTCAGTCGAGTGCATAGTGGCCCCGGAGTATTTGCATATTAACTTTGAATAAATAAAATGCCAATTTTCTAAAGGTTTTAGGAGTTAAAAACATTTTGAATGGGGTTTAATAGTGCCTCTGCGGCCATTAGATACATTGGATTAGCCACGAAGACGCTTACTCCCTGAATTATTTGTCGTTTGTCTCTGAAGACAGTAGGCCTGGTAGTGGGTACTGGTAGAGTGAATAGCAGAGAGCTGAATTCAGAACTCACCTTAGTGAGCTGGGAAACAGAGGTGCTGATCTGTGGCTCTGAGCACGTGTGAATACTTACTGTTCATTGCCACACCCTGAACGCCTCTCCCTGAACTTGCCCTTTTGATTAGCAACACATACAGTACCCCCATGTGTTAAGTATTATAGAAGATCTTGGAATTATACAGTTCAAAGTTTATCATTTTATTGGATAATTGTATTTCTGGGACTTTGTGGAAGGGTTGAAAAAAGTAAAGATTTTTTTGTTGGGTCTATTTTCACTGATGTTATAACTCACTGTGTTGTTAGCATTTGACAGATTTCTTTCTTGTAGTTTGGGTATAAATCTCCTTGTATAGTTAGTTAGTTATCTTATAGTCGTGCTATTTATGTTGAGTCAGCTGAATCTCACTGTGACTCAGTTTTCTTTCTCAAGTAACTAAATTAGAAACTTCTAATTCCACTTCTGGAAAAAGAGATTAGTAGTTTGTGAATAAAATGATTATTAATAGGTTCCTGTCTCATTGCAGATATCAGTATATGTGAGCATTCCAGCTTTAATATGCTAATGTATATAGTGTTCAATATGTGCAAATTAATAACACATAGACCACTTTGAGAACATTAGCTCACCACTTCATAGTATAGAGGAGACTAATGAAGTTTTTATGTTGAACATACTGTCTTATGAAGCTAAAACGTTGTCTTTAATGCAGTGCTGGAAATGTACAGCAAGCTGAAAGAACAGGTGAGCATGAAAAGGTGAGTTCGCTTCTCTGTTGTCTTACCTAAGAGTCCTTATCCGGACGCACTGGCCAGCTCAGCGTGAATTACAGTCAATCTGGACTTTGCTTTCTGTCTTAACTCTAACCGTTCTCATTCAACGTGTTTATCATTATCACTCAGGAAAGCAAACAGTAGCCACGTATTTGTGATTCCTTATCCTTTATACGTGATATGAAAGATTGGTAGTACTGGTAAAGGATAAATAGACAACTCAAGAGGAGTCAGAATTTTGTTTACTTACTAATATAGTTTACTACAATGCGGGGTGCAGCATGCGGGCTGAGGGCAGAGCACAGGTGGTTATGAGTTGAACACCAGGGCAGGGTACTTCAGCTTCAGCTTCACAGGGCAGATGAAAACACACATGAAAAGTAATATGAAGTGGCTTATTAATTGCCACAGGAACAGTGATGAAGTGATGTTCGAGATGTTTAAAAACGAACAACTCCAAAGTAAGATTGAAAAGCCAAAATGAACAAGACACTGTTTATTGGGGGAAGTAACTTTATTTATTTATAATCAATCATAACACATAATATGCAAATCTGTAGTCAGCCTGGCCTACAGAGTGTTTTGGTCTTTATGCTTTCAAGTGTAAAAGCATGTAAAGTGCCTTCAAGTGGCCGTTACTGTCTTCCAGTTTAGGGTTTTATCTTTTTTTTCAGTAATCTAATAGTTGTAGTCAGATTTTCCCCACTGTGCCCCAAATATCATTCTTACGTGGGTTTTTTGGTCTACTTTATTTTATTAATACAATCCAGTATCATTATTTTAGAAACAGGGCTCATCTGTAGCTCAGGCTAGCCCGGAACTCATTGTGTAGCCTCAGACTTGCAGTGGCCCTACCCCTCAAGCTTCTCTAGTGCTGGACTGAGGGTGTGAGGCTCCACACTTCTGAAGATGCTGCCCGCCAGCTGCTCTTGGTTGTTCACGAGAAGATCAGGTCAGCTCTTGTAGCTTAGGACACACTGGTGGTTTGTTTGTTTCGAGAAATAGTTTCTCTGTGTAGCCCTGGCTGTCTTGGAACCCACTCTGTAGACCAGGCTGGCTGCAGATTCGCAGAGCCCCGCCTGCCTCTGCCTCCCAAGTGCTAGTATTAAAGGTGTGCACCACCACTGTCCAGCTGGGAGCTCCACTTTTAATCTTTTTTTTTCTTAGTTCCTTTTTTTTCTGATCATTGCTGTGGAGTGATGAATATTTAAAAAATAAATGTGTATAGCCCACCATAACTCTTGAACTTATGACCATTCTGCCTTAGGCTTCCAAATACTGACATGTAGCAAGCTTTCTTCGTCAGACTCTCTTTGGACCTCTAGCCTGCAAATAATGATTTGGAGACTTGTTATTAATTATGAAATCTTGGCCTTAGCTTAGGCTTTTCCCCAACTAGCTCTTATAACTTAATTCGTAATTTTTTAAATCTATGTTCTGCCACAAGGCTTGCTCCTCAGCAGACTTGTAGTCTGCCGGCAAAATCCTCACCCCTGCATTCCCCCTCCCCTTCCTCTCTCTTCCTGGAAGTCCTTCCTGTCCTCTCCTGCCTAGCCATTGGCCATTCAGCTCTTTATTAAACCAATCAGAAGGCACCTTAGGCAGAGACACATCTTTACAATATTACAAATATTCCACAACACTGGCATGACAGATGAGCAATGCCTTGTCACAGGTTTGATATATTCTTTTTTCCATTATCTTTCAGTTTACAGTATTTTCTAGCTTTCCTGGGATCTCTGAAAGTTACATTTATATGTTTCTACTCAGAGTCACAGAACCACTTCACTATGACATCTTGACCAAATTACATACTACCCATTTTTCTCATCATAGCATATAAATAGTATTGGCTGCCAATAACTTATACCTCAGAGGGTTGAAAGAAAGGATAAGCCCATGAAAGTTGTCAGTTTCTCTGGGACACAAACTCGGCTTTACTGTATACCTGACATGTCCCATAGTGCCTGATAAATAGTGGGCAATCAGAAAATATTAATTGAATTGAAAGAAATCATTCAACAAGTGATTTTCATCTGACTTTTGAGGAACTTAGTGATATTTCTAATTAAACAGTCATATGAAATTTTCTTAAAAAAGTTAAATAAAATTTGCATTTATTTAGAATGAAACATATGCTATAGTTTTGGATGGATATTATGGTAGGAAAGATATTAAGATATTGAATAGTGAATAATTTAGTATTGTGTTATGATTTGTAAATTTATTTACAGTCAAGACATTGTAACAACTATGGTAGGGTTCATCATGTTATAGATTTAGATGGAATTAAGTAAGGAGGGTCATGTTAGTAGAAGTCATGAATGTTAGCTGCCAGTGGGTATACAGTATACATAGCTGTGTTTAGTAATAGAGATAAATGTTTATTTTATCTTCTCCCTGGTATGGAACCCAGGGCCTTGTGGGTGCAAGGCGAAAATCCCAGCCCAAGAGCCCACTGCTGTCACTCCTCTTTGCGGGAGTGTTGGGCTGACTCACTGTTTGAATCTCTTTGTAGAGTAATTGCGTGGACTTTTAACAGCCCCCTGTCAACCTCTCGCAGGTACTATTCTGCCCTGAAAACTATGGAGCAGTTAGAGAACGTGTACTTCCCCCGGGTTAGTCAGTACCGCTTCTGCCAGCTAATGGTAGACACGCTTCCCAAACTCCGGGAGGACATCAAAGAGATCTCCATGTCCGATCTCAAGGACTTCCTGGAAAGCATTCGAAAGCACTCGGACAAGATAGGGGAAACGGCCATGAAACAGGTGAGTTTAACATTGCACTGTAATGTCCCTCATGTCTAGGATGAGTGTTTACCCCTTGACATGCTTATTTGTGCTTAGGCTTACCGTTTTCGTCATCCCTGGGCCTCCTTTACAGTGCATTTGTTTTCAGTGTTTTCTTTGCAGTTACAGGTATTTTAAAAACTTAGGTAAAGTCAGTGTAACTTGAATTTTTCAACTAAACTCTCAGCAGTCCGTTCTTTCCTTCACATGGCTTGCACTCATGTTTTCCAGCAGTCAAATCTGCTTCAGAGTCAGGGTTAGCACAGAAGTGGAAACTTTGATGCTAAAGTCCTGCATTGTTCCTCTTTACAGATTGATCCTTACTGTTTTTATTATGTGTGTGCGAGAGTATCTGGGTGTGATATATATGTATATATATGAGTGTAGGTGCCTGAGGCAGCTAGAGGTGTTGGATCCCCTGAAGACTCCATTACAGGTGATTGTGAGCTGTCCAAAATGGATGCTGAGAACTGAACTCAGGTCCTCTGCAAGAGCAGCAAGTGTTCTTAACTGCTGAGCGCTCTCTTCACCTCCCACAGATTGTTCCTTTTATAGAAATATTTAAAATGCAGTTTGAATTAAAACCCACAATTCAATAATAAGATCAGAAACAAGCAGAATAGCTGGGTGCACACCTTTAATCCCAACACTTGGGAGGCAGAGGCAGGCGGATCTCTGTGAGTTGAAGGCCAGCCTGGTCTACAAAGCAAGTTCTAGGACACCTAGGGCTGCATATTGAAACCCTGTCTCAAAAAACAAAACAAAAAACAAACAAAAAACAGAAACAAGCATAATAAAAGATAAAATACAACGTGGAAATCAGCCAAGCTAATTAATATTTCTGAATAAAATTGATAATCCTTTATGAGAGAATTTGAAAGAGAAGAAAGTCAGTACTCTGGAGGCAGAGGCAGGTGGATCTCTGTGAGCTCGAGGCCACCCTGGTCTACAGAGCGAGTGTCAGGTCAGCCTCCAAAACAATACAGAGAAACCCTGTCTTGAAAAACCAAAGAGAGAGAGGGAGGGAGGGAGGGAGGGAGGGAGGGAGGGAGGGAGGGAGGGAGGGAGGGAGGGAGGGAGGGAGAGAGAGAGAGAGAGAGAGAGAGAGAGAGAGAGAGAGAGAGAGAGAGAGAGAGAGAGAGAGAGAGAGAGAGAGAGAGAGAGAAGAAAGTACAAGCCAGGAATTAAAAAGAGGACATTGCTACAGATCCTACACTTACATTTCAGTAATAAAGTACTGGCTTTGGGAGATGGCTCAGTAGATCAAGTACTTGCTGCTCAAGTATGAGGACTTGATTTGATCCCCAGAACCTACATAAAAGACCCAGAGTTGATGCGTGCTTGCAATCTCAGCCCTAGAAAGGCAGACATGGACTGATCACTTGGGATCACTCGGTCAGACCCAGGGGTGTCAGTGAGAAATCTAATCTCAAATCAGTCTATCAGTCATGATCCCGAGAAATGGGCCTTGAGTTTGATCTCACATACACATTCTTTTCCCAGCCCTAAGACACATAAGAAACAGCTTATAAATGTTATTAATAGTTATTTTGGAGCACTGTACATGGTGACACACATCTATAAACCTAGCACTTGAGAAGCTGAAACGGGAAGACCTCAAGTTTGTGACCAAGCTGAGAGACATAGTGACTTCCAGTTCAGCCTGGCTATAAAGCAGGAGCCTGTATCAAATATATAAGTAGGTAGTTTGGTAGATGGATTAATGGGTGGATGGGCGGGTGGATAGATAATGAATGTTGCTTTTGACTAGAATCAGTTTTGAAATAATTTGAACCTTGTCTCCCTTAAAATAGGCACAACAGCAGAAAAACTTCAGTGTTATTATGCAGAAGCAAAACAATGCCAGGTTTGGGAAAAATATGCATGTAAATAATGACAGCATTCTAGAAGAGAAGAATGACATTGTATTGAAACATGTACTTGAAGAGGAGGCTGAGAATGAAGAGGAGGTAATGGGGTTTCTATTTTCCATTATTATTGAATACTTTTTGCTTCATAAAGTACTGTGTTTTCCATGTGCAACCTGATCAGTGAGTGATCTGAAATATTAGACTATGTAGCTGATAGATAGCAATAGTCAGTGTATAAGAAATAAGCTGAAAAAAAAACCCACCAAAGTGAAATTAAATGGGGTTGTTTATGTTGCCTGCTATGGGAGAATCAAATCAATATTATAACAGCCTGTGACTCGATATTATTTAATAGTTTAACCTATCATTTTTAAAAATAGATTTATATTTTAGGTCTTAACTGTTCAAGATCTCGTTGACTTTTCCCCTGTTTACCGATGCTTACACATTTATTCTGCTTTGGTGAGTATTTTTGCCGATTCTCATTGGCATATTAACCATCTAAGTTTGCTATACTGTGTTTTAATTCTTTGCTGGTCCTTCCAATCATGTAGAGTTTGGTAGAGAATGGTTTTGTGTCTGTTAGTACTTAATTTTTCTATCCCTGCCTCTTTCCCTCCTTTTTCTTCCCCCTCCTCCCTTTCTCCCTCTCTTTCCTTCCTTTCCCTCTCTTTCATTTTTGACAGGTTCTTATATAGCCCAGCCTGGCCTTGAACTTGATTCTCCTCTCCACCACTGGCTGGTTTATGTGGTGCTGGTGATTGAACCCAGGGCCTTGTGCATGCTAGGCCCTCCCTTTGCTACCTGAGATACATCCCCAGCACCTCAGCTCTTATTACTTTTATTTTGAGACAAGGTCTCACTAAGGTGTCCATGTTGACCTTGCAATCTTTCTGTCTCAGCCTCTTAAGTAGCTGGGCTCACAGATCTGGATGATGTTCCATGTCTTTTATTATAAGCCAAGCTGAATTATGTTATATACTACTTTTTAGCATATTAACTTTGTGGTTAGTTCTTTTCTGACAGATTTATTTTAATTCTTTTTTTAAATCCCCTTTCTCTCTCTCTCTCTTTTCTGTCTTTCTTTCTTTCTAATTTTATTCTTCTCTCATACATTACATCCTGACTACAGTTTCCCCTCCCATCTCTCCCCGCACCTGCCCTCTCCCTCAGATCAACTCCTTCTCCATTTCTCTTAAAAAAAAAAAAAAAGCAGGCCTCCCAGGGATATCTACCAAACATGACCTAATAAGTTTCAATAGGACTGGGCACAAACCCATGCTGGTTGAGGAACCCAGTAGGAGGAAAGGGTCCCAAGCACAGCAAAAAAAAAAAAAAAAAAAAAAAAAAAGTCAGAGACCCCCTCCTCCTATTGTTAGGAGTCCCACAAGAACACCAAGCTATACAACCATAACACATATATATATATATAAAGAGGGTCTAGCTCCAGACCCATGCCTGTTGCTTCAGTGTCTATGAGCCCTGCTTAACTGAGTCTGTGGGCCATGTTTTCCTGGTGTCCTAGACTCCTCTGGCTCCTACAATCCTTCCTCACCCTCTTCTGTGGGGTTCCCCTGGCTCTGCATCTACCCCCATCAGTTACTGGATGAAGCCTCTCTAATGATAATTGGGCTAGGCACCGATCTGTGAGTAGCAGAATATCATAAGGAATCATTTCATTGATGTTCCTTCCTTCCTTTTTTTTTTTTTTTTTTTTTTTTGAGGTCATGTTTGGTTCTATCCTGGGTCTCTGGGCTGTCCAGTCTCTGGGTCCTGGCCATCCAGATGTGTCAGGCGGGAGCTCCCCTTGTGGCATGGGCCTCACGTTGGACAGTCATTGGTTGCCGTCTCCCACAGGTTCTACACCGTTGTCCCAGCACATGTTGCAGGCAGGACAGATTGTAGGTTGAAGGTTTTGTGACTGGGTTGATGTCCTAGTCTCACTGTTGGGACCTTGCTGGTTATAGAGGATGGCCAGTTCAGGCTTGGTATCTCCCATTACTAGGAGCTGTTAATGCCTAGGCTCACAACCAACCCCTCCCTCCTTTTTTTAAGGCTCGAAAGATTTTACTGCTGGACCTGGTGTAACTTATTTGTAATCATAGCCTGAGGAGGAGACTGAGGCAGGAGGATCACAAGTTGGAAGACATCCTGGTCTATATAAGGGGATCTGTCTTTTAAAAAGACAGCCATTTTGGTTTTTCGAGACAGGGTTTCTCTGTGGCTTTGGAGGCTGTCCTGGAACTCTCTTGGTAGTCCAGGCTGGTCTCGAACTCACAGAGATCCGCCTGCCTCTGCCTCCCGAGTGCTGGGATTAAAGAAAGACAGCCATTTTGAAAAGTGTCTGTTTTTTTCTTCTTCTCTGGTTCATTCTAGTGACTCTCTGCTTTACTGACTTGGATATATTTGGTTCTTTTGTGGGTCTCATAGGCTTATCTATTTCTCTGGTATTTGTGATTGCTTTAAGTACATCCTGCAACGCTAGGTTAGTGGTCATGGATCACTTTTGTTTGTGCTTATCTTGGATGTTTCTACTTCTCTCTCAATTTTCAAAGATGCTTTTGCTGGCTGTAGAGTGTTGGTGAAACAGTTATTAACTCTGAGGGCTTGAAGTAGATGACTCCATGCTTCCTTGGCTTTCAGGGCGTTTCTTGAGAGCTCTGATGTAACTCTGAGGGTTTGATTTTGTACCTGAGTTGGCATTTTATTCCTGTAACTTTCAGCATTCTTTCTTGACCTGTAGTCTTGATATTTTATCTATAATGTGGCACGGATGGATTCTTTTTTGATCAGGTCTGTTTAGACCTTCTAGTTCTCCTGTGCTAAGGTACCCGTGTTTCTCTAGATTTGGAATTCCATTTGGCAGTAATTTCCTTAAAAGTGTTTTCTGTGCCTTTGGTTGCAGCTCATTTCTGTTTCCACTGTGGATGTTTAGACTTGCTCTGATCGTGTCTAGAATTCTTGAAAGCTCTGGTCATTCTTATTTTTTTTCTTTTTTGTTGTTTGACGTTTCCTCAACTTTATCTCAATGCCTGTACTCTGTCCTGTTCTTTTAGTCTCTTCAGTGCCTGCTGTTCTCTCTCCTGTTGGTCTAGTCTCTTGGTGGCACTTTCCATTGAGTTATACTTGGTTCTTTTCCTGAATTTCTGTTTTTTTGATGAATTTTTCATTCATGTTGCTGTTTTGTCCGGCTCCAAGTTCACCTTCATCACGTCACCTTGTGTTTGTTTAACCCTTATTGAGGTATAAAACACATTCTCATGAATTCCTTGGCACTTCATCTGTTCAGATCTTCGGATTTAGTTTTTGAGGCATTATGGACTTTTGGAGAAATTATTCTGTCTTGTTTCATAACATTTCTTCTGGATTTCTGTGCTGTGGTCTGAGTATTTGTTGCGATTTTCTTTAGGAATATTTTTAACCACTCTTTGTTTTTTGTTTTGTTTTTCAAGACAGGATTTCTCTGTGTAACAGCCCTGGCTGTCCTGGAATTCGCTCTGTAACCCATGCTGGCCTCGAAGTCACAAAGATCCACCTGCCTCTGTCTCCTGAGTGCTGGGATCGAAGGCGTGCACCACCACTGCTGGTCTTTACCACTCTTATTTTCTGGGAGTCTTTTTAGTGGATCGGCTTCTGGCTTTATGATCCCCAGTGAAGGGAATCCTTTTAAGTATCATATTCTCTAAGTCACAGTGCAGAGTTTCAAGTGGAAGGATATGGCTAATGTAATAAAGTCCTTATTAAAGCGTCCAGTTCCAGCTGAGCATGGCAGTGCGTGTTTGTACTCTGAGCACTTAGAAGGCCAAGGCAAGAGGGCTTCTGTAGGTTGGGGGCTAGCCAGGGCTACATAGCATGGCTTTGTTTAAAAGAAAAAGAACTTCAGGACTCTTAGTAGCAATGAGCATTAAATATTAAAAACCATTGAATTAATAATAAAAATTTAACCCACAAAATGGACAAACAAAACTATTCTGTTTTATACAAATTTAAAAGTTACTAATTTTCAATACAAATTTATATTTTATTTACTCATTATTAGAACATAGCCCATGTTTATGCTGTTTGGATCAGTTAAGTACTAATTAGAATAATTTATGCCTGAAATGAAGTGATAATTTTAACATCAAGATTCTTGTAAGCTCAAAAGGAAAATAAGCACTAAAACATTTTACATTAGAAAATACAACATTTGGACAAAATATATTAAATCAGGTAAAATTGTGTAAGGGTAGTATGCTATTAGCAGGAATTCAAAAGTAAGGGATACATGTCAACTCTGTACATGAGAGCTATCCATGTATCCTAAGTAAATGACACTTGGCTCTGTTCAAATAAAGTTAATATTATGGTTAATGTCATATCCTCTGCATTTGTTCAAACTCTTAGTAAAACAATTTCAGTTAATGTATTGCATAATCAGTAACATAGTTATTTTGAAGTTCTTAGTAGCTAGTTTTTTAAGCTATAACACCAAACTCTTTTTCTTACCATCTGTGTGAAATGCCATTTGTCATTTACGTTCCAATTTGGAAAGTTAACATGATCCCCAGAGGATGAAGAAGGCCCTCTCAGCTGGAGGGCAAGGGAAGGAGGGAGGTGGGAGGCAGGGTCATGACCATCTTTCTCCTGGTGCGCTTTAGGGTGATGAAGAAACGTTTGAAAATTACTACCGGAAGCAAAGGAAGAAGCAAGCGCGCCTGGTTCTGCAGCCGCAGTCCAGTGTGGTGAGTGTGAGCTTCCTGTGCAGTGGTACTCTACTGTCAGCCCGTACCTGGCTTTAGTTTTCAGAGCATGTGTCACTGCTCATTCACATATAAATATTTATTGATCACCTACCACTTCTAGTGATTGACCTGGGTGCCAAGGGTACAATAGTGAACAAAACGGGGTCAGTCTCTTCTCTCATGAGTTTACATTCTATTCGGGGAGGTAGACGTTGAGTTCAAAACATAAGCAAGCAAAATGCCAGGGAGTGGTAATTTGTTTCTGACACTGTGGTCAACTGTGTGCTGGGATTCTCTGTCACGATGAACAAAAAGGACAGTGGATAGACTTTTTCTTTGTGCTTTTATTTTTAATTGTGTGTATGTGACTGGAGGTAGGTCTGTATGTGACTAGGGTTACCTCAGAGGCCAGGAGAGCATTTTTAATTGTGTGTATGTGACTGGAGGTAGGTCTGTATGTGTGACTAGGGTTACCTCAGAGGTCAGAGAGCATTAGATCCCCTGGAACTGGAATTACAGGTGGGTGTCAGTCTCCTCATGAGTGCTGGGAACTAAACCTTCATCCTCTGTAAGAGAGCTAGGGCTCTTAGTCACTAAGCCATTTTTCTAGCGTCTAGATAGACTTCCTTTTTAAATTAGATTTTTCTTAAATGTACTGGGGATCTGACAGGAAAATATAATTCAGCTAAAAAGTGTGGCTATGGTGACATTTACATGTCTAAATGTGTTTGTAAATGCTCATAGACACTACATTGAAAAAATACCTCAAAATATCTGACTATAACCTAAATGAAGGCAAAAACCCAGGTAGGTTTTTTGTTTGTTTGTTTGTTTTTGTTGTTGTTGTTTTTCAAGACAGGGTTTCTCTGTATTGCTTTGGAGGTTGTCCTGGAACTTGCTCTGTAGACCAGGCTGGCTTTGAACTCACAGAGATCCACTTGCCTCTGCCTCCCGAGTGCTGGTATTAAAGGCGTGCGCCACCAACGCCTGGCCCCAGGTAGGTTTGATAGGCTACAGCTTTTATCCTGAGAGGGTCTATGGCATAGGAAAGCAGGAGTTTTTCATGATACAAGGTCAAACCTAGAGCGCTTAAAGTAGATTTCCTGTAAGACATCTCCTTTCTTGTAATCTGGGGCTTCTGGGGGTTTAAAGTCCATTATTAAGATTACCACGATATAAAGCCATCTAAAAACCTCTCTCAACAGTTAATGACAAATAAACCAGCTTAAAAACGGGCAAAAAAGATTTAAATGGACATTTTGTTACAGATACGCAGATGATATGCATACATGAAAAAGTTGTTCAGTATAATTTTTCATCAGGGAAATGTAAATAAAATCTACAGTGAATTACTGCCATATACTTATGGAATGCCTTACATTATAAAGCTTGACAGTATCAAATGCTGGTAAGAATGTGGGACTCAGCAACTAGAATTCTCTTATACTTATGGTGGGTATAAAAATAATATCATTACTGGAAAATGGTTTGACAATTTGTAACAATAAGTTATTGTACAATTCTAGACTTCCCCTAGGTAGTAATTCATGAGAAATGAAAACATGTCTTTACATAGTGGCTCATGTATGACTGTTTATAGTAGCTTTATTCATAAATACCAAAACCTAGAACTATTCTCAGTGTCTGTGAACTCGTTAGTAGACAAATTACATCATTATGAATAGTCATATTATTATGCTTAGATATACAGAGGAATATACAATATGGGTACTTTTATTTATTTATTTATTTTTGGTTTTACGAGACAGGGTTTCTCTGTATTGTTTTGGAGGCTGTCGGTCCAGCCCGGCCTCGAACTCACAGAGATCCACCTGCCTCTGCCTCCCGAGTGCTGGGATTAAAGGCGTGCGCCACCACCACCCAGCTATGGATGCATTTTAAAGCACCATTTTATGTGAAAACATTGATATATGAAATTGGTACAGTGTGTTTTATGTAATTGAAGTTTTTGAAAAGACGAAACTATAGGACAAAATGGGATCAGGTGGCCAAAGACTGGCAGAGTAGCTCACACAAAGAGGCATGAGGGAGCTTTGTGAGGTGTATCTAGAGATATTGTATGTCTTTGTATATTGATTGGCAATTATACAGCACATAATTTTGTCAGAACTCAGTGATAGAGTGCTGGGTTTATGCACAAAGTCTTGAGTTCAATCCCAAGCACAACACCAACAGGCAGGGTCAAAAATAAATGGAGTATGTGGCGGTCAGAGGACAACCTTGAGTCTTCCTTAAGTGCTGTCCACATTGTATTTTAGAAAGATAATTTTTTAAATTAAAATATAATTGTATCACTTTTTTTTCTTCCACTCAACCCCTCTCGTGTCCCCCCCCCACTCCTTTTCAAATCAGTGGCCTCATTTTCTTTGGTTACTATTGCTACATATACATAAGTGTGACCTGCTGAGTTTATTTTTGTTGTTTATGTATCTGTGAGTTCAGAAATGATCCTTTTGTATTGGATTTTTTTTTAAGATATAGTGTTTCATTGACCTGGCACTTGCCAAATTGACTAAGCTGGCTAACTGGCGAGTGAGCCCCATGGATCTGTCTCTATCACTATAAACATGTGTTCTAATATCCATCTTTATTTGTTTTTAGAATTTAATTTTTAATCTCACACACATATACATATATACATACACACACACATATGTGTGGGCGCTATGTGAATGTGGGTGCAGGTGCCCATCTGACATGTATCCTGGAAACTGAACTTGATATTCTGCAAGACCAGTGAACACTGTGAACTGCTATGCTATCCCTCCAGCCCCAACACATGCCTTTTGAAACATAAGTTCTTGGGAATTGAACCCAGGTTCTCATGCGTGTAAAACAGCCACTTTACCAGTTGAGTTACTATCCCAGCCCATATCTTTTTCACATTCTCATGTGTTTGTATGTAGTTTCATGTGTGTATATGCATGCTTGTGTGTGCGTGTGTGTGTGTGCATGCACACACACGTGCTAGTGTTTGTGGAGGTTGGAGATTAATGTAGGGAAATCATCTTCCGTCTCTCTCTCTCTCACTTTATTCTGTGAGGCAGGGCCTCTAAGCAAACCCAGAGCTCACCGATACTATCTGGTCTCGCCACCCAGCTTACTCTTGGGATCCTTTGCCTCTTCCTGCTGAGACTAGAACTCCTGCCACAAAAAACAAACAAAAAGGTTTAGTAGAGGATTTAATGTGCTCGTAGCTACTTGAACTCTATCACCTGATAGCTGTGTGAGAATAGATCACAGTGGGCAAGCCTAGAATCTGGAACTAGGTAGGACAGTGAGGTATTAGCTCACGTGAAAGAAAATGTTGGCTTCCACTAGTCAGATGTAGGCTCTGAAGTCCTGTTTACTGTCTAACTTATTTAATAGTTCTCTCCTTTTGAATGTACATTCCATGAGGGCCTGCAAGATGGCTCAGCGGACAGGATGGCTCAGTGGGGAGGATGGCCCAGGCAGCAGGATGGTTCAGTGGGTAGAGCTGCCTGTCTGCTGACCTGGCTTTTTCTTTGATTCCTGGAGCCCAAGTGAAGGTGGGAGGAGACAGCTGACCATTGTCTTCTGACCACCCCCCTTATGTGCTGTGGCATGTGTGTCCACACAGATACACATCATGTACTCACACACACAATAATAAAAGCTTCTGAATGTGTAATCCATGAGAGAAAAGGCTTTTTGTTATTTTCGAATATATCCCTGGTACCTAATTAGTAAGCAGAACTTAGTAGGCTCTCAATAAATATTTATTAATCAAGTTATAGTGACTTGAAACTTTTATGTTACTGTATTTATTGGTTTAAATTGATTTTTATTTTTCATTTTAAGCATGAAACAGTTGATGGCTATAGAAGATATTTCACTCAAATTGTAGGGTATGTATCTAATATGGAAGAAACTATTACTAATTTTATTAAAGTTTGTTGAATGTCAGAAATAATTATTTTCTACTTGCGCTTTCTCCCTTTTTCCCTAAACACATGCTATGTTGGTAATTGCCATTTTAGGTTCTTTGTGGTGGAAGATCACATTTTACATGTGACCCAAGGATTAGTAACCAGGGCATACACTGATGAACTGTGGAACATGGCCCTCTCAAAGATAATTGCTGTCCTTCGAGCCCACTCGGTAAGTAAGACCATTCATGTTAACAATTACAATTAACTTGATTTGTATAATGGGGAAAAGTGCATCTTTATCACCCTCCCTTTTTGGGAAAGTGCTCAGATTTGTAAGTAATACCATCAAGGCTTCTGCCTGTCTGTCAGGCTGGTTCTGTAGCTGCCTGGGGTGTCTGAAGATAATTTTATTTGAGCCTTACAGAAAATGAAGAAGTAGGCCAGCACCATTAGTCTCAGCTGACCTCTTCAGTAGACCACCGAGCAACACTGTGAAGAAAGAAAGGGGTTTTAATTATTCCAGATGTTTTGTTTCCAAAATCAACTCTACCATAAAACTCAGTAGAACTTGTTTCAGAATGTGTGTAGATTTGAAAATCTACAGTTTTTACAGTTTGAACTCACTTGAAATAATAAACCTTCATGTAATGAGAGATTTTTTTAATGGGTTAAAATTAAATGACCAACTATTTTCTTAATGCCTTTCGTGGAAATAGCTAACATGCTAGAGTTATAAACATTATAGGTTCATAATTGGTCATAAATTTAAGATAGTTGTAGTAGTTTATCTTCAATAAAGTAGCCTTATATTTAAAAGTTTGTAATCAGATACTATAACTAGTAATTAAAATTTAAAAGAGGAATTTTATCATATTTAGATTATAAATACATTTTGTTTATATTTATTAGGCGTATAGATTTGTGATACATTGGCAATAAAACTTTAAAAATATTTTAGTGAATAAAGCATTTTGGGGATGCTGGGAACAAAATCTAGTGCCACATGCATCTAAGAATGATGCATTTTACCATGGTTTATATTGAAATTGATTCTAATTATGCCATATTCCTATTAATTCCATGGCATTAAATATCTTTTTGTTGTTGTTGTTGTTGTTTTTCAAGACAGAGTTTCTTTGTGTAGCCCTGGCTGTCCTGGAACTCACTCATCCGCCTGCCTCTGCCTCCTTCGTGCTGGGATTAAAGATGTGTGCTATGACCGCCTGGCTCGCATTTAAAATCTTCAGTGTTATTAAGAGGCTGTGGATTACTCTGTTCTTTTAAAAGTATTATTTTCCTTCGGCTAATTACTAAGAAATACTTAAATTGCCATTCTTATATTGGGAAGGGTAATATATATGTCTTTTGTAAGATGGAGAATACATAAATAGTGAAAGTAGGAATGTATGGTGTATATGGAGACCACTGTTAGAGTTTGTAACTAATTTCTCAAAAGTCTAAAGATTCACAAAAACACAGTAGCCTTTCTTTCGCATGAACTTTTACGCATCATGTTATGGTCTCTTTTTACACATGTAACTGAGGAGAGACCAGCTCCTTGGATCTAATGAACCCGGATTTTAGTTTTGTTCTCAGTCTCCCACATTGAAGAACAAAGTGTCAGGTTCTTATTTCTTAGTTTTAACTTGTTTCTATTTTCCTCGTGTGTCCCTGTGCATCCCTACAGTCTTACTGCACTGACCCTGACCTTGTTCTGGAGTTGAAGAATCTCATTGTGATTTTTGCAGACACTTTGCAGGTGGGTGGTAACTTAAAATGCAATTGGTGATGATTTTGAGAGTGCAAGGACATAAAACATATAGACTGTATTTTATTATATTGTAGATTAGTGATAGTGAATCAGTGGTGATAAATGTTTATTTATAGATTGCTAGTCTTCTACCCAAAACCATGTGCAGCGCCTCCTGTGTAGTTTTGAAGCTTGGACAGAGCTCAGAAGATACAAGCACCTTTTAACACATTGAGCCATTTCAGTAAAAATATAGTCTTTTCGTGACTTAGAATAAGGAGGCCAGACATGGTGGTGCACGCCTGTAACCTCTGCCCTCAGGAGGCTGTATCAGGGGGGTCTTAGATTTGATCCAGCTTAGGCTACATAGGAAGATCTCAGAGTCAGGGTAGGGTAATTACCAACAACAGCAACATGACCTAGACTTGGTGAGATGGCTCAACAGGCAATAAGGGTAACCAACTCTAATGACCTGAGTTCCGTCCCTGGGACCCACATAATGGAGGGAGAGAAGTAAATCCCACAAGTTGTCCTCTGACCTCCATCTGTGCACCCCTCACACACAAGTAAATATAATAAAAAATTTAAAGGTATCTGTAGTTTAAAAATGTTTCAGAAATGTTAAATGAAATAAAAGTTTCTCTGTCAGCACCTTTCTCAGAACAAATGTATGTATACTTTAGGCTTCCAAAGGGACATGGCTATGCAGTATTTCCAAGTACATGTGGCTATACCATATTCCCCAGTATATGTGGCTAGGTGTGCAGTATTTTCCAGTATATGTAACTATGCAGCATTCCCCTACTGTGTAACTATACAGTATTCCATGTTGTGGAATATTACTTTAACTAGGCAAAGATGTGTTACATTTGTTTATGCTCCATTTGTTTAATGGTGTAAAGATGTGTTGCTTTGCCTGCCTAAGGTACCTGATTGGTCTAATAAAAAGGTGAACAGCCAATAGCTGGGCAGTAGAGGGTTAGGTGGGCCTGGCACGCAGAGAGAATAAGGAGGAGGAATCTGGGTGAGAGGTGGGGGGAGAAGAGAGAACACGGGAGAAAGAGAGGGAAACACGCGCGTCCAGCCAGCCAGCCAGACAGCCTCCAGACAGATAGACATGGAGTAGGACATACAAAAAGAAAGATAAAAGCCCCAAGGCAAAATACAGACGAAGAGAAGCAGGTTAATTTAAATTATAAGAGCTAGTGGGGCAAGAATAAGATAAGGCTGGGCATTCATAACTAATAATAAGCTTCTGAGTCATGATTTGGGAGCTAGTTGGTGGGCCCTGCCCCACAAAAAGTCTCTTGCATTTGCTCTTCTCTCTCAAGTCTAGATTCCTTCTCCTACTTATTCTCTCTGCCCACCAGCCCCGCCTATCCCTCTATTGCCTGGTTATTGGCTGTTCAGCTTTTTATTAGTTCAATCGGTACCTTAGGCAGGCAAAGCAACACATCTTTACATTGGTAAGCAAATACTAGTTAAAGTAATATTCCACAACAATTCCCCGGTATATGTGACTGTGCAGTGTTCCCTAGCACATGTTATGACTCAGTCTTACCTAGTATGTGTGACTGTATAGGATCTTCCAGTCATGTAACAATGCACTATTACATGCATTATTCCCAGTTATTGTTACTGTGCAGCATTCCCAGTCCATGTGACCTTTGAACCTTTTTCTTCCTCTTAGAGCACTTTGTAAATCCATAATTAAAAAAAATGCTTTGGGGGCTTGAGATATCCACCATCAATTAAGAGTTCATACTGCTCTTCTAGAGGACATGAGTTTGGTTCTCAGCATCCTTGCCAGGCAGCTACAATTGCCTGTAAACATAGCTCTAGGGAATCTGATGCCTCTGGCTTCTGGGTACCTACACACATGTGACATACACATACAAATATGTTTTGTGTGCTCTAGGAAATGGTGCTATGAACTATTTGCTTTATCATCACAAGTCTTTGAATAGCTGTTTTCTTTCTTCTTAAATATAAGGAGAGTACTCTACAAGCTTCTTTGTAAATTATTTTATTACCTTATATATTTATTAATTTGAATGACCTATTAGTTATCACCAGAGTAATGTGGAATGTGGTTGTTATTTCCCATACATTTTATGATACATGAATCTATCATAGTGATCTCCTTGTATTGATAAGTTTTATTTGGGGCTTTCTTAATTTTAGGGGCCCTACTGTGAGTAACTCAAGGGAGCTTTTTGCTTTCCTTAATGATTTTAAACATCCAGAGTGCCTTAGGGACCACTGTTCTTTATGTTGTCATTGGACTGTCAATTGCTTGTTAACTGCATAAGAGAATAAAGTGATGGGATCACTAAGCACTAAGTTTACCTCTGTTGTCATCCTGCTGTAATATGCAGGATTTACTCCATCCTAAGTAGGAATGTGGGTTTATATTGTGTGCAAATTCCTTATCTCTTTGTAAGACCATTACAAACAGTTCTGGGATCAGTGTATTGAAATAAATGAATCCAGAGTATTTGCTAGGTCTAAGGAATGCTACTGAGAATCAAATAAAAGCTAAAGGAGGTTTACATAATGGAGACATTGGAAAAGCAATAGTGCTGTTTATGTAAACCTTTGAAAGCACACTCACCCACCTACCTTCCTTCCTCCCTTCTTTGTGACTGGATCCTGTTATGTAGCCCAGGCTAGCCTGAATTCCTGATGTCCTGCCTCCACCTCTTGAGCTCTGACGCTATAGAGAAATTCCACCTGCCTAGTTGTTTCTGAACTTAACTGCTTTGAAATATGTTAGAGGTTAGACATTAGTGATTTTTAATTATTAAGAAATTCATTATTTTCATTTTTCCATGAAACTGATAAGTTCATTATTAGGCATATTTTATACTACATTAATGATGATATCTTTTAAGTTTATATCTTCTAATTGAAGAGTCATGGTGTCTTTTCATAGAAACAAAAGAATGTCTCATAATTTTTCATTTTTTAAATTGACACTTTTACTACCTTAAAGAACTTTTACTTTAAAAAAAATTAATGTAGGGTTTGAGAGATCGCAGAGGTTAAGAGCACTTGTTGCTCCTAGAGAAGACCTGAGTTAAATTCTTTTTTTTTCCATTTTTTTGTAATTATTTATTTATTTTAGTTTTAAATAGCTTGCTTCACATGTCAATCCCAGTTCCCTCTCCCTCCCCTCCTCCTTCACCCCCCACCATCCCCCCCAGCCTCCCACCCTATTGCCACTTCCTTCCACATAGGGGATATTTAGAGTCTGTCATTTCACTCAGGGCAGGGTCCAGGCACTTCCCTAAGAGTCCAGGCTGAGAGAGCATCCCTCTTTGTGTTATGGACACACGAAGTCCATTTGTATGCCAGGGATAAACACTGATCCACTGCTCAGGGCCCCATAGGTTGCCCAGGCCTCCTCACTGGCTCTCACACTCAGGGGGTCTGGATCTGTCCCATGCTGGCCTCCCAGCTGTCGGTCTGGGGTCCATGAGCTCTCCCCTGTTCAGATCAGCTGTCTCTGCTGGTTTTGCCAGCCCATTCTTTGCCAATTTGCTCATCGCTCCTCTCTCTCTGTCACTGGGTTCCATGGGTTCAGTTCAGTGTTTAACTGTGGGTGTTTGCCTCTGCTTCCATCAGTCACTGTATGAAGGCTCCAGGATGGTTATAGACATCAAGTTCACGCCAGTTGTGGTGGCACATGCCGGTAGGATTTGCTGAAGGAGGCAGAGGCAGGACAATCACGAGTTCCTGAGTTAAATTCTTAGCACTCACGTGACAGCTGTAAACCATTTGTAACTCCAGTTCCAGGGATCTGATGTCCTCCTCCAGCCCCTGCATGTAGTACACAGATATGCATGCATGCAAAACACAGATGCGTAAAAAACAAACAAACGTTCCATTTCTTAAGAAAAGTAATGTTTTAATACACTTTTGAGTTTATCTTTTGACGATTTCATGCATGGACATGATGTTTTTAGAGCATTATCCCCCAGACTTCGGCATTTCAGCTCCTTTGACGTTTCCTTCCAAATCCTCCTCCCAGCTTCATACTGAGGGGGTGGGCGTAGTCATTGACATCATCATCCTCATCCCTTTCTTTAAAAGGAAGAAATCAGTGTTTTGTCATTTAAGACAAAGCTGATCAAATAATAGTAAAGAAGGTAACACCAGCACATTTACAGTTCTGTTTACCTCTTGTCAAGTCAAAAGTGTTTGTCTTATTCACTGACACTTTTCTGAGCAAATGTCACGTGCTGGGAAGACGGTTGATGTGTAAACTAGTAGAGACAGATGTGTGGTGTGGTAATATGAGAGAATGGCGGGTTCCTGGATGGTGTGGAAAACTGTAGTGTCTGAGTGTGAGACAAGAAGTTCGGATTGAAGTGATGAGACCTGATTGAAGGCAGTTTGATTTAGGTCAATGAACGTTTTAGACATATTTGACTTACCTTTTTTTTCTCTGTGTCTTAGGGTTATGGCTTTCCAGTCAACCGACTTTTTGACCTTTTATTTGAAATAAGAGATCAATACAATGAAACATTGCTTAAGAAATGGGCAGGTATTTTCAGGTGGGTCCAAAGAATGGTGCCTTAGTATAATGAATAAACTTGTCAAACACTTAACCAATTGGTTTTGTATATAGTAATAAGAATGCTTGCTCAGTTTCTGTTGTAATAAAATGCACACAATTATAACTGATCCGTGTATAAGTTTACAGTACCATGGTGTTAAGTACATCCACACTGTTGGAACCATCACCACTCTCTCTCCAGACCCTTGCATATTCCCAAACACAATCTCCACCCATTAAACAGTAACTCATTTGACTCCATTTGACTCAGGGCTCCATCCTCCAGCCCTGACAACCACCGTCCTTTCTATCTTGTCTCTAAATTGACTACTGTAGAATCTCATGTAAGTGAAATTATAGAATATTTGCTCTACTATATTGGAATCAATTCACTTAGCATGTCATTGTGGTTTGTTTATGCAGTACACAGGCCAGAATTGCATTCCCTTTGAAGTCTAGGTCATACTACACTTCATGTATCTGCCACATTTTCTCTACTCTTTTCTTGATGGATACCTAAGTTGTTTTATTGATTGTTCTACTGTTGTTACATGCAGGAGTATGCCAGTATCTGAATTAATGTTAGATATTTTGGGGTTTATACTCAGAAGTGGAATACTGGATCATATGATAATTTATTTTTTAACTTTTTTGGAAAACCTGCCATATTGTTTTCCATAGTGGATGGACCATTTATAATCAATTTATTTATACTTTAGTTTTAGTATCTGCAATTTTTCCAGTAAATGGTTAGGTACTTATAAGGTTGTAAGTATTTCAAGATATTTTGCATTGGGGACAGAAATTTATGCCTTTTAAATCTGACTTGGGGCAGGTGTTGTTCATAAAACTTAGCTGTCTTAGAAATCTTAAAGTCTCTAAGAAAGATGGACGCGTTTTCTACAGTCACTTGCTTGAGTGATGTGGACTGAAGTGTTTGAGTGTTGGTGAGTTTACACTGCCATAACAAGAGAAGCATACCCCGTTTGTTACTAGAACATTCCCCCTTTCTCCTTTCCCGCCTCCCTCACCTGTCCCTCCCTGTCTTTCTTCTTCTTGCCTCGTTCTCTCTTTCAGAAAACAGCCTGTTTCTTACATATGTGTTGCCCCAAAGTAAGCTAGAATTAATATGACAATGGTACCTGCTACTAAGACAAATCATATGTCAAATGATTTCATATGAGCTTAGTACTTAAGCCATTTTCAAAAGTGAAGGTTAGCTCTCTGAATTCTGCATAGGAATGTTTTGTAAATCCCTAAGTGATTTATAAGGTAACAGACCTGTATTAAAGTTAACTAAATAAATCCTCATTTGAAGTTACTATATTAACATTTATTATTTTTATTTAGTACTTTTTGGGGGCAGTTACAGTGTTTCAGATTGAAGCTAGAGCCTCTGCAGATGCTAAGCAAGTGCTCTGCCCCAAACAACGTCTCTAGGATTTTAAACTTTTAAATGCTTTCCATTTAGTGTGTGTGTGTGTGTGTGTGTGTGTGTGTGTGTGTGTGTGTGTGTGTGTGTGTGTGTACGTGTGTGTACTAGTCAGTTCTTTACTTCCACTAGGTGGTTCTGGGAGATCAGACTTAGGTGTCAATATCTTTACCCTCTGGACTCTCACTGCCCAGTCTTTACCCTCTGAACTCTCACGGCCCAGTGTTTACCCTCTGGACTCTTTAGTAGTTTTTCTAACTCTAATTCTAGAAATAATTTTTGGGGGGTTTCTCTGTGCCTTTGGAGGATGTCCTGGAACCAGGTCTTGTAGATCAGGCTGTTCTCTGAGAGATCCACCTGTCTCTGCCTCCCGAGTGCCTGGATGAAAGGGGGGTGCTACCACTGCCCGGCTCTAACTCTAATCAATTGTCTTAAAACTTCTAGCAGGGCCATTGCTCCCCAAAACTAGGAGCTGTGAAATATTTTTTCTCACTGGGAAGCTGAAGTGTTTGTTCAAATAGAGATAGAATTGACATAAATAGAATAGACTTACTTCATCAACTATAGTAATTGTGGAGGAAAACAAATAACATCAGACATAATGCATAATTCCCAAATACATTTTAATTTCTACCTTTAACACCATCCTAAGTAATGCTTTATGCCTAAAATTTTAAGTAGTAGGATTTAAGCTTTATTTACCACTGACTAGTATCTTCAAATGTATTACAGGTAGTGAACTGACAACAGTAAGATGGGTGAAGAAAATTTTCACCAATACTGATAATTATAATTTGGCAACTTCTGTGATAGAGTTTATCATCTGATTAATATTATAGTATAGTATTTTTCTATGTGTAGTTTAGGTTGTGAGCACTAATAGTTTTTTAACTTTATAGTTTATGTATTTACGTATTGATTTATTTAGTTGTTTTTTTTTTTTTTTTTTTGAGACAGGGTTTCTCTGTGTAGCCCTGGCTGTCCTTGGAACTCACTTTGTAGACCAGTCTGAAAGGAACTTACAGAATTCCACCTGCCTCTGCCTCCCAAGTGCTGGGATTTAAGGCATGTTCCTTTACCACCTGGCTGAGTATTTTTATTTTTAATAGACAAATGTGAAGTAATGCATTTATACAAACATATTTAATACATAAATATATTCATAGAGTACATACAGAGTACATAGCTATGCATTATGGATACCGAAACCAAACTATCCATCATCTTACATTAAAAATGGTCTACAGAGTGAGTTCCAGGACAGCCTTCAAAACAATATAGAGAAACCCTGTCTTGAAAAACCAAAACAAATAAACAAAAAACAAAAACAAAAACATTTTATTGATATGTTTTTGAATTACTGAAAGGAGTAAAAGGGCAGGAAAATATTGACAATTTCATAATGATCATAAGGTTAACAGTCATCTTTCTGTGACCTTATCATAACATCAGGCATCACATAGAACACTGAAGGAGAAGAAATCCGTATTGTGAGCTGGGGGTGGTGGTGGTGGCGGTGGCGCACGCCTTTAGTCCCAGCATTCGGGAGGCAAAGGCAGGCAGATCTTTCTTTGTAAGTTCCATGCCAGAGTGCGTTCCAGACAGCTGGGGCTGCATAGAGAAACCCTGTGTCAAAAAGAAAAAGAGGAAGGAAGGAAAGGAGGGAGGGAGGGAATGAGGGAGAGAGGAAGGAGAGAAAAAATTTGTAGTGCACACAGAGGTTATGGTAAGAGAGTCTGGGATGCCTTCAGCATCACCTGCCTTGCCTAGGGCACATCTCACCATGATTAAGTATTTTCGTTTGTTTTTTCTTTCTTTGTCACCACTAAGTCATTAAGTCAGGGAGCAAATTGATAAATTGTTATCACATTCTCCTCTCTTTCTTTGAAGTAAACATTGGGAACTGCAGTCACCCTACTGTGTGAAGGTCATTAAAAGTTTACGTCTCTATCTGGTACTTCATATATTTTGCCCAGTGTTTCTCTTTATCTTAGCCCCCTGTTAACCACTAGTCTACTTTCTTTTTTTTTATTTATTTTTTTTATTTTATTTTCCAGTTTAAATTTAGATAAGAATCAAGGTTGCTTCACAAGTCAGTTCCAGGTCCCTCTCCCTCACTAGTCTACTTTCTGTTTCTATGGGTTTGACTTTTTTAGATTCCATATGTAAGTAAAGCCATGCAGTATTTGTCGTCTAAGCCAGGCTTATTTCATTTAGCATGATGTCCTTAAGGTTCTTCTATATTAATACAAGTGATAGAGTTTTTTTAATTTTCAAGGCAGCATAAGCCATTATGTACATAACACACATTTTTTTCATCCATCTGACAGAAGGTAAAGCTGACTCCCTATCTTAGCATATATTAGCTATTGCAGATAGTGCTGCATTGAACATGGGAAGGCAGATATCTTGTCAGTATACTAGTTTCGTGTCCTCTGGATAGATACTCACACAGCCATGTTCTGGTTTCAGTTCTCTCTGTACTGTCTGTCCTCCACATTCTTTTCTATCACGGCAGTGTTAATTCCATTTCCATCAAAGGACTTCCTTTCTCCACATCCTTATGAACAGACACTTTTCTTTTTCAAATGATAGCTGATCTAATAGGCTTGTGATGATATCTCATTGTGTTTTAAATTTGTATATCTGTGGTGATTGGCGATATTGAAGAGAATGCCTGTTGTGTTTGCCATTTGAGTGTCTTTGGGAAGTAACTATTTAGGTCCTTGCTCGTTTTTAATATGCTGATTTATTTTCCTGCTGTTGAGTTCTTTGCATTCCTTACTTTTTATGTTAATCCTTTATCAGACTTGTCAGCTGTATAGTAGAGAATGAACTCAGGCATCAACCTTGATAGCAAACACTTCTGCTGAGCCATCTAGCCAGCCTAGGTGGGTTTTATACTCCTTTGCACTTACACTTTCTGTCCACAATGATTTCCTCCTGTAATCTCATTAGAGATGTTTCTTTTCATCTTTCAAGACCCTACAGACTCTCCATGAGATGATCCACCTGCTCTGATAGCTTCTTTGCCCTACTGTATGTGTAACATACAACATCTTCAAGTAAGGGGTTTTCATTGCAGGTCAGGGTTAATACATAGTAGCTATTAATAAGCATCAGTCAGCCTGGATTACTGATTAAAGGTAAATTGATGCTAGGCATGTAGCTGGCACACTTCTTTAATCCCAGTACTAGGGAGGCAGAGGCACATGGATTTTTGTGAGGTCATCCTAGTTTACATAGTAAGTTCCAGGCCAGCCAGTGAAACCCTGCCTCAAAAAAAAAAAAAAAAAACAAAAACAAAAAACCAAGAACAAACAAAAGTTAGTTGGTTGGGAAACAGCTACCTTAGGACAAGACAGGTGGGTTATAATAGTCCTCCAAAGCTCAGTTGGTGAAAGTTGTTTATTTCTCACACAGAAGTCAGAGATCTGAGCTATTTCAGTTGTGATTACACCTTTTTAACTCATTGTCTCCAGGGAAAGTAAGGTTGTAACACAACACAGATGGTTAAGAGCAATCTGCATCCCTTCCACAGTGGCTAAAACCAGTTACTAACTGCAAGAGTCTGCATAGGTGAGCAGTCACAGGGCTTGGGGACTGAGTAATAAACACCTGTCTTGACCTTAAGAACTGAAGCTTCTTCTGAATGCTACATCCTGAGAGACAGCCTAGGCAACAAAGTAGCACAAGTTCTAATTGTTCTTAATAATAAAAAGTCAGCTGGGGGGAGGGGTGTGAAAGCTCATGAGTTAGAGAAACAGAGTGGTCAGCCATTAGAGTTCTTACCTCTATCAGTGCTCAGACCAAAGGGGAGATCCTGTCCTTAGACTTCATCCTCAGACTGACTGCTCCTCAGAGTGACTGCTGCTCAGACTGCACTGAGCTCCTGTCTCCTCCAACCACATATTCCTCTCTCCACCCAGCCATCTCCCTTACTGTCTCCAGCTCGTTAGAGCTGGGATTAAAGGCATATCACTCCAAGTGCTACGATTACCTTTGTGTGAGCTCTGTTCCTCTTTTAGCCTGGATCAATCTTGTGTAGCCCAGGGTGGCCTTGACCTAACAGAAATCCATCTGCTTCTGTCTCCTGAGTTCTGGGATTAAAGGTGTGTGCCACTACTGCCTGGCCTCTGTGGGTTATTCGTGTGGCTAGCTTTGCACTCTGATCTTCACGCAAGCTTTGTTAGATCATAAACAAAATATGCAAAATTAAAAGTGAAGTTCTTCGAGGATGAAAAACTAGAACCAGGACACTGGAAAGGAACTGCGAGAGACAAGACCTATTTGATACTGGATTTTAGGATCCTGGATGATTAGTATTTTCCTGTTGTGACTTGTAATCGACAAAACAAACAAACAAAATTGTAGGAGCTGTTTTTGTAAAGATACTGTAGTCTAATGACAGGGCAATAAGATTTCAACTTTTCTTGTTTAACAGGGACATTTTTGAAGAAGATAATTACAGCCCTATCCCTATTGGCAGTGAAGAAGAATATAAAGTCGTCATCAGTAAATTTCCCTTTCAAGATCCAGACCTTGAAAAGGTACAAGATAGTTTTTCAATTTAAGGATTAAGAAAAAAACCAAATCATCATATTTATTACTATATAAAATTAGCATTGTAAGTTGAGAATGACTTCTTTGGGGGCAGTTTGTTGTTGTCGTTGTCATTTGAAGAAATTAATTATATTTTAACCCTTATAGATTTTTTAAGTACTACTATTATTATTATTATTTTGAATAAGTTAAGTAGGACCTTTTGGGGGGATCTGGGGACACTAGAAACAGTTGTCCAAATGTGAGGTGAATTCCCAGGGCAAGTGATACTTGTATTGCGTGCATTCCAGAGCAGATGTATTAGATGCTGGGTAGATTGTAGTAATAAGAGTAGTGCCTACTGCAGTGCTAAAACGCCATGACCATAATTCGCTTACACATCTGCTTCACAGTCCATCACTGAAAGAAGTCAGGGCAGGAACTCAAGCAGTACAGGAACCTGGCAGGAGCTGATGCTGTGGCCATGGAGGGGCGCTGTTTACTGACCTGCTCCTCATGTTTTGTTCAGTTTGCTTCCTTATAGAATCCAGAATCACCAGCCCAGGAGTGGCAGCACCTCCAATGATCTGGGCCCGCCCACATCAATCAGCAATGAAGGAATGCACTATACCCACAGGCCCGTTGGATGGGGAGGCATTGTCTCTACAGAGGTTCCCTCTTCTAAAATGACTCTAGTTTGTGTCAGGTGAACATTAAAATTAGCCAGCACAAGCATGCTCTAGGAAGAGATTATCTTTGACACATTTGTCACTGTGAAAGATCTTATTTTATGGCTTTAAAAAGAAGTATATTAGACAGGGGAGAAGGTTCATGGGAAAAGTGCTTGCTGCACAAGCATGAATACCTGTGTTTAGATTCCCATCACCCACATAAAAGCCAAAGCTGGATGTTACCTACGGTATTTGTAAGCCCAGCTCTGGAAAGCAAATGCAGAAGAAGCTGAAACTGTTTCAGAAAAGAAGGTGGGAAGCAATAGAGGAAAATGTTTAACAGTGACCTCTGGCCTCCACGCACAAGTGCACATGCACGTACACACACACACACACACACACACACACACACGCACACTTTCTATAAAAGTTTATTTTAAGTACAAGATATGTGAAGGTGGTAGCTGCTTGTAGATTTCTTCTGGAAGAAGGCAATAGCTGTGCCTTAAAAATAAAAAGTAAAAAAATAAATAATAAAATTCTGGATTTGTTTAAAATTAAAAATAGGCTAGACATGGCAGCACATGGCTGTAATCCTAGCTCTTGGGAAGCAAAATGAGGAGAACCACATGTTCAAGGCCAGCCAAGCTACTTAGTGAGATCCCGTCTCAAAACAGCTAGCTAACTAAATAAATAGATGAAAGTTTAAAACAACATATAAGAATTATGTAGAAATATAACCATAGAATTTTATGCAATTATTTACATTCAGTTGTAAAATCATATTAATTTTTTACCTTTATAAGAGACTACAATATTGTTTTTTAAAAAACAAATCTCCAAAGCAGTATTAACTTTCTCTTTTACAGCAATCTTTCCCAAAGAAGTTCCCCATGTCCCAGTCAGTGCCTCTTATTTATATTCAAGTTAAAGAATTTATTTATGCCAGCCTTAAATTTTCTGAGTCACTGCACCGAAGGTAAGCTCACTGACATGAAACCTACTTTGTCATATGCTTTTAGAAAGTGTTAGCATTTTATTCCCAAACCCTAACTCTTGGTAGTCTGTAATCTGATTGGAAAGCCTTCCTACCATATTTGAGTTGGATTAAGGTTAGATTACTGTAACTATCTTATCATTTTATACATTGTTATTTTAGTGTTGAGACACATATGGCACAGGTGATTCAGTAGAGAAAGTTCTTTGCCCTTAGCATCTAGATTTAACAGTAATAAATATTTTGCCACATATCCTTTGTCTATTTATTATTAGTAGTAGTATTTTATTCTGTGGATATGGATGTTTTGCCTGCATGTATGTCTTTGCATTAGGTATATGCCTGGTGCCCAAGAAGCCCAGAAGAGGGCATCAGTTCCCCTAGAGTTACATCTGGTTATGAGCCACAATGTGGGTGCTGGGAATTGAACTGGAGTCTTTAACTGATCTTAGCTGCTGAGCTGTCTCTCCAGCCCCTTTGTCTATTTTAAAAGACATTTAAAAGAACATTTGCTAAGTAATGACCTTTTACCCTTAAGTGTTTAGCACTCACTACATTCCACCCCAGCTACAAATTACGCTTACAACTACAGAGCTAAATCTGAAACATAGATTGCTTTAATATTTTGTAAATTGGTAATGTATATGATTTGAATGTTCTTACAGATACTTATGCCTAATCTAAATGTTGGTTCTTGAAATATAGAAATTCATACTTGATTAACATTCTGTTAAATTTGGAGAAAGTATAGGAATTTAACATTTTGGAATTAGCATTATATAAGGACTGATAAAATTTTACTCATGTTTAAGGCAGGAATTCCAATGGGGGTAATTTTGGTTTTCCCTGCTGAAAGCATTATCTCTCTACAATTGGCAATGCCTAGAGATGTTTTTGGTTGTCACGGCTGTGGGTAGGAGTGCTACCTGGAATTAGCAGGGAGGGACCAGAGGAGCTACAGAACACATCACCCTTTGCTACGCTGGCATTGAATGTCCTCTTGTATGCCAGGCAAGCATTTTACCACTGAGCCATACCCCGATCTCTCAGTGTGTATTTTAAAAGTAGCCTTCAGCGTCCTGTGTATAAAGTACCTTACAAAGTGACTACTTTACAGTGGAATTATAATAATGCATTGTTCAGAGTCTCTTACGATTTTTATCTTGATTGATTTGGTAAATTTAAATTGTGTCATAAATGAGCATTCTGCTTTAGGGGAAGTGATCCCTTTTAAAATTAAATTGAAGTTTGTAACTCAATGAGTTATTGCTATTTATATAGGAGAAACATATATATAAAGATATGATTTATATGTGATATAAAAGATAGTACTTAGAAAAAATTACTTTAGTAAGTTATGTTACATTTGTGAGAATGTTAACTGATTGTGCTCTTGGAAAGTTTTATCAATGTTAACATTTGTTTTCAGTTCAACAGAAATAGATGATATGCTTAGGAAATCAACAAATCTGCTCCTGACCAGAATTCTGAGTAGCTGTTTACTGAACCTTATTAGGAAACCTCATATAGGTTTGACAGAGGTAAGAAGAAATAAGAACCAAATATTTAACCATTTGAAAAAATTGGGGCTGGAGAGATGGCTCAGAGGAGGAGCACATACTGCTTTAACACACATGGCGGCTCATAACAATCTGCAACTTCAGTTTAAGGGCATCTGATACCCCAGGCACACATGTATTGCACAGATACACATGCAGGCAAAACACCCATACACATAAAATAACAGAAAATATAAATTGTTGTGAAATGTTACCTGTAGCTTTATATTTAAAATTTATTAATTTAATAGACTAAAAAAGTAAAAGCATCAATCCAATTCAAATGTGAGGTGGGAGCTAGTTAGAGAGCTGGCTTAATGGTTACGAACACTGCCTGTTCTAGAGGACCTGGGTTCAGTTCCCAGCACCCACATGGCAGCTCACAGCATTGTAGCTCAGATCCAGGGGATCCTATGCCCTCTTCTGGCCTCAGGCACTGCATGCACAAGCTGTACAAACATGCATGCAAACAAGACACACTTATAAAATTTAAAAACTCCTTAAAAATGGAAATATGAGGGAAGAGTTCACTTGGGTAATAGTAAGCAGTTGGCGATATGAAGGGCATAGACAGTCACAATCCTCATTTTGTGCTTGCTTAGTATATGGGATCTACAGATTGCTATGGGAAGTTATTTCAAAATAATTGGCTGTGCACTCCCAGAATACACAGCTTTTTAAAACAACATTAATTCTCATAAGAAGTATTTAGGGTAGACTTTTGAAATCAGATAACCAGTTGTATCTTGTTTTGCTGGAATTATGCAGACATAGTCGGAAGCTGACTGGAAGAATTATTGTGGTTTAGAGATCAGGTGGTCCTGTGTGGGCGTGGTGGTCTGTATTTACTGTGGCTTTCATGTGTTTTAGTTGGTGCAGATCATCATAAACACAACACATCTGGAACAGGCTTGCAAATACCTGGAGGACTTTATCACTAACATTACAAATATTTCTCAAGAAACTGTTCACACCACAAGACTTTATGGACTTTCTACTTTTAAGGTATAGAAAATTTGACCAAAAGTTTTTGCTCAATTATTCTAGGAAAAGTTTAAGAAATTAAAGGTAATTTTTGTTGTATTCTAAATGCTGAGATTAATCATTGCCTATAATGAAGATCAGCTGTGTGTTCCTTTTGGCAATTTAAGCATCTTACTGAAAAGCTAAAAAAGTGTTGATTCTCCACAACATAGTTTATTCATGTGTTGACAATAAGTGGTAGTACTGAAATAGACTAAATTTTCATTCATGTTTCATAGTTTAATAAGTGAGCATGACTGTGTGTATTTGGAAATTAAAAATTAAGTAGGAGGCTTGCTTTCCATTCTCCTTGGTCCTGAAATGAAGAAAAGTAGATTCAAACCTACCTTATGGCAGGATGAAAAGAATTGTTTGTGTGAGGTCATGGAATGTGCTGAGAGATTCACCACTTAGTGGTGTGTTAAGCAGAGTGCAAGAGTAATTTCATGTGTTTTTCTTAACCTACTTCTTTTTGTTTTGGTTGGGTTTTTTTGTGTTTTGTTTTGTTTTTTTCAAGACAAGGTTTCTCTGTGTAGCTCTGGCTGTCCTGGAACTCACTTTATAGACCAGGCTGTCCTTGAACTGAGAAATCTGCCTGTCTCTGCTTGCAGAGTGCTGGGATTAATTAAAGGTGTGCACTACCACGCCTGACATAACCTGATTTCTTATTCTATCAATCTTGAGCTGTAGATTAGCCATTGAGTGTGTCAGGTTTCTGTTGCTGTGATAGATTCCTGAGAAACAGCAGTAAAGCCTGATAGGGCTTATCATTCCACAAATTTCAGCCCAGGGTTCCTTGGTTTTGGTGCTCTGGGCTAAAGATGAGGCCAGGCGTCATGGTGGTGAATCCTTGGAGGTGCAGAGTGCCTCACCCCATGACAGCTAGAGTTCAGTTTTGTCCTGCTGGTTGTTCCTCCTGCTTTTGTGGCTTCCAAGCCTCCAGGCTGTTCATGCTGACACCCACCTTCCCTCAGGGCAGTCCTTCCCTGACTCAGTTGCTGTCCCATGTGCCAGATGACATCACCAAGCACGAGGACCTGAGCTCCGATCCCCAGAACCCCAGGGAGGCTGGGTGCAGCAGTGTCTGTAATCCCAGCACTCCTAAAGAGGGCGGGACAGAAGAGTCCTCAGAAGCTGCTGGGCCAGCCTCTCCTTTAAGACTGCTCTGTTGCTGTGGATCAGGCTTGCTGTCTCTGCTTCCCATGTCAGTGAAGGAGCGCTAGGGCTGCAAATGTGTGTGATGGCACCCACCCTATCTGGGTTCTGGGGACTTGAACTCAGGTCCTCATGCTGTGTATCATGGAAAGGTGTCTTCCTAGCCTTTAAAATATACAGTTTCTTGAGTTGGCTTCTCTGTCTCACTGTCACGTTCCTTCTCACGAGTGAATTTTAGGTTTTATTGCATTACTCTGTTTTCCCTCTGTTTTTGGCATCAATATTGCCATTCGATGACGAGTGGATGCTGTGTGCCACGCAATTCAAATCAGAAAGTTCAGTGTGCAGATCAAATGGCTTACTGGCATACTGTTGCTTGAGTCAGAATAAAAACTAGCTAAGGAGGACATGTTTGTTGAGGTGGTTTCAACCTTACCTCACTTCTATTTTTATGGGCTCCGAAAGGTCATGGAGTGTGTCCTTTGCTCTAAATGATTAAAATGTCCCTAGGTGCTCATAATTAATGTCCTTAAGTGTTCATAAAGTGTTTCAAATGAGATACTGATATTAATCAGTGATATCAACAGTAAAAAAAAAAAGTAGCAAGAAAAGCACATCAAACTTTCTTAAACAATAATGGGCCTGACCTGTAGTTCTGACCATGTGGGATACTTAGGCAGGAGGATTGCTTGAGTCCAGGAATCAGAGACTATCAAGACAAATCAAGGCTTATTAGAAAAAAAATAACAGAAAAATTACAATATGTGAAAGATTTTGCCCATTGTGACTGGAAGGTCCGAGGATAGGGTATTTCAGGTGAGGGTGAAGTTGACTGCTCAGGGGCCCTCAGGGACCCACGTCTCTTTCTCTGTCCTCTAATCTATGCAACTTTGGCTTCATCTCCACTCTGCAGTGCACAGAATCTACATGGTGACCAGGAGCTCTCCTAATAGTAAAATGGCCACCAGGTCACAGCTCCAAACCTCATGCTCTAGCTGTTACAGGATTCTTTGCTGGCAAGAGGGGAATTACCAATCAACTTGACCTCATCAGGACCCATCCTTGAAGCAGAATCTAGATTCAGACCTGCCCAAGCCCATAGCTGTGCTTTTCCAAAGCATGCTTGAGGGCTTTTAAAAGAACAACAGATAACAGAAAGTTGTAGGTGTTTGCTAACGATGTTTAACTGTTACTACTTAGCTTTTTATTCAGAACACATGTGCTTACAGTCCGGGAGGTGCAGAAACCTGTGTATGTTGAACAGCTCCTCAGATGGTTCTGTTTCGAACCTTTGGTTGAGAAGCACTGATAATGAATGGTAGGAGAGCATTTCATACAATGAAGTAAAGGTTGGCACATTATGCTAGATACATTTTTGCCCCTAGAGGGCACTATTTCTTTAACAAGCAAAGGAAGACTTGTATTTTTATAAACTGAATCTTTACATTTTAATTAACAGTATATAGTAGTGTCTCAGTTTTGTGCCGGGCCAAGGGTACATGTATTTCCCAGGGATTTTATTCATCTGGATTATAAAATGTCTTAGACCCCGGTACTTAGCAAAGTCCTTTCAGATAGTGTCTTTACTGTTCCTGTTCAGTAATGCTAGCCGACTTCTTTTCCTTACCCAGCGCAGTCACTAAAGTTTTTACTTATAGCTCTTTGCTTTCTATCGTAATCTGTGGAAGGCATTAGTAATGTCTTAAAACATGCTCCTCCCTTAATTTAAAAGAGGTCTTGAGAAATTTTGTTTATAAGAAGAGTAGAACTTTTCCATGTTACCTTAGAGAAGTAGGCTAATCCCAAAGTTCTTGATAGCAACAGTGGCAACAAAGATGAATTTTTATATTCTCTGCTGCATTTCTACTTAGTTCCTTTTCAAAAACAAAATGAAACAAACTAGTGTAACAAACTAGTCTCCAAACATTACGTTCAGAAAACACACAATATTTTTATTTGAGACGAGGTTTCATTGTGTCGCCCTAGCTGATCTGGAACTCACTATACAAACAGTTGGCTTCACAAACCTGCCTCCCTCTGCCTCCCTAGTGTGGGGCTAAAGGTGTGCATCATTTTGCCCAGATCCAGAAAACACACTTAATTACTTCATTTGAGTAGAAAGTAAGTGATTTTATTTCATTATGCATTTTCTGACCTCAGATTAAAACTTATTTTTTCCCACATGGTTCTTTGACCAAAAATATTTTGGTTAATATTTTAATCCAATAGAGAATGTGAGCTAATAACCTTCTTTGTTTTACTGCAATAAAACTATATGGTTAAAAAATGGAAATAATAGTCTGGGGGTGACCACACACACCTTTAATCCCAGCACTCGGGAGGCAGAGGCAGGTGGATCTCTAAGTTTAAAGTCAGCCTGGTGTACAGAGAGAGTTCTAGGACAGCCAGGACAATACAGAGAAACCTGTCTTGAAAAACCAACCAGACAAACAAACAAACAAACAAACATGGAAATACAGTGTTAATTTTAAGCCCAGAGTTAAACTGTTTTTTGTAAAATTTTGTTTCGGAGGGGTCTCTTGGCTTTAAGTTTTTGTGGATGGAGTTAGTGCTCAGAGGCCTCTTCTGGTCAAGAGTAAGAAAGAAAACTTAATGATGATAGTCAATGCAATAGGGAATACAATATATTTATTTATCAGAGAGAATCACACAAGCTGGGAATCAGAAGCGTGGCCGGCTTCCAAAAGAGGAGGTCCTTTTTCCTTTTACTTCCTTTTATCTCTACCTGTGCTAATTTACTTGTCTCCGCCCTCATGGGCAGATAACTTTGTGGGGTTCACTCCTACAATTCCCCTTTTAGTCTAAGTAAAAGATTTAAATTTGATACAAACTCAAACATATACAACAAAAACTATCTTCCTCTCCTTGCCTGCATTAACGGCAGCCCAGAAAAGCAGAGGAGCAGTCATGGTAGGGGGATGAGGATGTGTAGGGAATGGAACAGACGACGGGAATAACCAGTGTCTCGAATTCCTTTGCCTGGTGATGTGGAGAGCGAGTGAGGTCCTGAGCATTGAGCTCCTGTCAGGCTGTGCTCTGACAGTGCTACCCGCTATAGTTCTATAGTGAACGGTATTAATCTGCTTCAGTTAGTGAAAGTTAGGAGAATGCAAGAAGGGGCTGACTGTGAACATCAGGCACAATGCAAAGTGATGAACATCTCTGTACTGCTCTGAGAAATTGACTTCCAAGTGGTATTATTACAGTGTGGTATGGTGTAGTTCTGTAGCACACAAACATATAACAGCTTACCATTGCCTAATGTGGCAAGGAAGGTTAAAGACCAGTGTGTGTTACTTATGGCTAATACATAGTAAACATGACTCTGTCCAATTACTAGTGCTCCATTCCAAAATGTTATTTTGTAGTTGTTCAATTGCAAATGATGTCAGTAAGTTAAATTGTGTAATTTGGAAATCTTGATATTGTGATTATTGATTATCTTACACAGTGTCACTACCCACTGAGTGATCTTGTTGATCTCCAAGGATGGCAACTTTTGGAATGACCACCACATTCTTTGCAGTTCTCTCATTGAGCAGTGGAGGAACTGTGACCACTCTTGAGCCTGGCAGACTTGTGCTTGCTTACAGTAAGAATCAAAGAGCATGGTGGAGATAATGTAAGGGCTAGGGTTAGGACAGAAAAGGCTTCCACCTCATTCCAGGCATGCAGGCAGAGAGCCTTGTGCGGCCCTTAGAAGGTCAGTTACCAGCAGGGGGTACTGGTGAAAGCCTTCAATCCCAGCACCAGGGTCAAGGAGGAAGATCTTGAGTTTGAGTCAGCCTGGACTACAGGGTGAGACCTGGTCCCAAAAAGTAAGCAAGCAAGGGTGTGGAGCCACGCCATGAAGAAGCCGAGGCCTGTGGTGAGCTCGCCCACCTCAGCTGCCAGGCACATGAGCGAAAGACACCAGGTGATTCTGACCTCTGAGTCTTGTTCCCACACTTCAAGTCATCCCGGCTGAGGTCTGGCATTCTGGAGCAAGGCCATCCCCCTCTGTCCTCTGACCCGTGCTCCTGTTAAGTCACCACGTTCTGGGGTAGTTACTCTCTAGTGTTTCACGGGGACGGCAACTGACGTCAGTGCTTCTTCGTAGGCCCCATCTCCGTATCACTAGCGTGAGTTTCCAGCCCACACTGTCTCTTTTAACTGTGCATGTATAAACACTAATTTGTTTATATTTACTCATTCTGTAGTTACTTTCTATGTGGCACTTTTGTATATGAACTAGATTACAAAAACCTCCAAGGTATTATTTCACAACTACTTATCTATTGTGCACTGTGTGCCGAGTACTATTCTAGATGCATGGGGCTGTGTTAGTGAGCAAAACAGATGAGAACTCCTTTCCTTAATGAAGGAGTGGATATCCTTTTTTTGTTCGTTTGTTTGTTTGTTTCTGAGCCATGGTCTTACTGTGTAGCTCTGGCTGTCCTGGAACTCACTGTGCAGACCAATCTGGCCTATAATTCAGGGAGATCCTCCTGCCTCTGCCTCCTGAGTGTAGGGATTAAAGGTGTGCGCCACCATGCCCAGCTTTGGTGGACATTCTTCACTCAGAGTCCTGGATATATAGTAATAGCACTGATACTGTTGCTGACAAACAGTAACAAAAAGTTAAGTCTTCAGTCTTAGGGTTTCCCTGAGATTAATTGTATTAGACATTTCAGAGAGGGTAAGTTACTGTAAGTTACTGAGTTAGACTCATTGCTGTTATCACACTTAGCAGTACTTTATTATACTAAAACATTTTTTAAACGTACCTTAAGTTCTTGTTTTGCCCACAGTACTGTGTTTACCTCTTCTACAGATGACAAGGGATACTGTTGAAAGTTTTTATTGTTTATGTCAAATTTGTATTAGCCCTCTGAATAGGGAGTGAAGAAAAATCCTTGTTTCATTTCCTGTTCCAGTCCTACTGTGAAGCCTACCAATGGAGAAGCCACCAGGGCATGGCTTTCCTTACTTACCCTGCCAAGTGTGGCAGAGAATAGAAATGGTTAGGCAGTGTGGAAAGTGGAGAGGTCACCACAAACGCACAAAAAGTTAGATATGGTACATCTGAATCATTTATATTTGCCTTCTGTGTATTATCCATTTGAAAGAGGTTTTTATAAAAAAACTGGTAAGAGTTCATTTATTTGGTGTGTGTATAATTTTATTTGCCTTCTAAATTCTTTTAAAATATTTTTATTAATTCTTCAATAATTTTAAACATGCATACAGTGAAATTTGGTCACCCTCTACTCCTTTCCCTAACATCTCTCATGTCCATTCTCCCTCTCAACGTATGTCTTCCTTTTATTTTTATTCATATCCCACCATGTGCTGCCCATATACTCAGGGGTGTGGGGCTACCCACTGGAGCATAATGGGAACCCACCATTGACAACACCCTTAAAAAAGCTATTCTTTCTTGCAGCAGCCATAAATTGTCTGTAGCTCCTCAGTTGGGTGGGGGCTCATGAGTGCCTCTTCACTCTGTGCTGGAATGCTGACTGGCCTGTTCTTGTACAGGTCTTGTGAAGACAATCATAGCTGCTATGAGTTTTGCTTATCTTCTCCCAAATTCTGTTCTTAAACCTTTCTGTCCCTTCTTCCAAGATGGTCCCTGAGCTCTGAGGGAAGAGGGTATGATATAGACATGTAACACAAATAACAAAAACCCAGGGACTGATATTGGGGTTCTCTGAAGATCAGAGAAACAAAGCAGCCAGCCACTAGCTCTTATCTCTATCTCCAACCAAAATTGGTGGTCCTCTCTCCATGACTCCTCAGAGTGCAATCCTCAGAGGCAATTTGCTCTCCTCAAGCAATCCTCTGAGTTCCTGTCTCCTGCCTTATATTCCTATCAGTCTCCCCTTCTGTAGAGCTGGGATTAAAGGTATGGGATCCCAAGTGCTGGGATCACCTTTGTGTGAGCTGTTTCTCTTTTAGACGGGATCAATTTCGTGTAGCCCAGTGTGGCCTTGAACTAACAGATCCGTCTGCCTGTCTCCCAAGTCCTGGGATTGAAGGTGTGTACCATTTCCACCTGACTCTGTGGCTGTGGCTAGCCTTGCAGTTTGAACTCCAGTGGCTTTATTTATTACATCATAAACGATATGTCACCACATAGATGTCTTCTTTATTGCTGAGCACTCCCCAGACACATACTCTCTGCACTTTGACAGAGTTTCTGTGTTAACTGCCATCTGCTGCATGGAGAACCTCCAGATGGGGTCGGAGTGCTGCACTCATCTAGGCTAGTGTCTGCACTTGGCCCTTACGGGTGCCCTTCTCTGATTCTCGAGAAGTCAGCACAGCTGTGAAGTCTGTGTTTAGCCTTTAAGTTCATCTTTGTCTGCTTTTAGGGAGTAATATGTGGTCAGCTATTGCTGAGGTGAGTCTTCTACAAGGCCTAGTTGCTTTATATTGTTCATCATCTGTTTCTTCCATCAAGTACTGAACTTTCTAATGATTCTTTCCCATTTCACTTCATACATTTTAGTCATTTGACTGTTTATACTTTCTACCAACTGAGGCATTTCTCTCATTTTTAAAAAGAGTTTTTAAGGCTTGCTTTTGTTCTTTGAATACATTTTGAATAGTTTATGTGAAGTTTTGTCTTTTAGTCTAGTAACTGGGCTTCCTTACAGATTCTTCTATTGATTGCTTTTTCTTCTTTAGGGAAGCCATGTTTTCCTACCGGATTGCATTGTAGTTTTTATTGATAACCAGACATTTAAAATTATGTGACATGGCAACTTTGGAAACGAGCATTCATCCTTGGCCTTGTTGTCCTTCTTGTTGGTGCTTGTTGTTTTTCTGGAATTAATTTGTAAGTCTATTTTCTTTGTGTGGCCTCTGATGTCTACTTACTTAGCTTAATGGTCAGCCAGTGATTAGACAGATTCCCCCAAAAGCCTAGAACATTAAATCCCTATCTTCTGTAAGAGATTCTGTGTGTGTGCTGGGACATGCCTTAAAAACCGAGGCAGAAGTTAGCAATTCTGCTTTAGCTTTCATTTCCTGCTTGTACAAGCTTCAAGGTTAGTCATAGATGAGAGCTTAGACCCTCTCGGGCCTTTTGTGGACATGCACATTGCTCAAGAGATACATATGGCCTCCTAGTTTTTCCAAGAACATGTTAGACTTTTGTTGTTATTGTGTATTTGCATTGTTATTGTTTTTCTCCAGACAGGGTCTTACCACAGCACATATTCTTGGCTGACCTGGAGCTCACTATATAGACCAGGCTGGTATTGAACTCACAGAGATCTCCCTGTCCTACCTCCTGATTGCTAGACAATGTATGTCAGAGTTTTTAAAAGATGTCTCTGGAAGAGTTATTTTCCAATGTTTTCTTTTTAAATTTTGGTTAACCATTTATGAATCACAACTATAACCTACCACCACAGCTATTCTTTTTATTAAAAAATAATTAAACAACCAACTCTAATGATTTTGACAGTACCCATGGGGAAAGGCATTTTTGCATCAGAAAACCCTAATTTAGGTTAAATAAAGATTGTAGCTAGAGTTGATTTGCATGTGTTTACTCTATTTGGAGTCAATTTGCATGTATTTACACTGTATTAGGAATTGTAAATAATAAAGAGATGATAAAGTATACAGGAGACTGTATGTTATAAGCAAATGCTATACTATCTTATAAGGGAACTCAATTTATTATTTGTAATGAGAGGAAAATTCTGAAAGCAACCCCCTGTAAAGACAACTGTATTCCATTTTCTCTGTGATATCCAACTAACTTTCCTGTAGTGACTCTGTGTGGTCTGCATTCTCAGCAACCTCTGCTTTGTGGCTTCTGTTCTTCTGAGGGGCCTTCATGTAAGCCATTAGGGGTTCACAGGCTACCAAATAACCAGTCCTGTGATGGTTAGCATTGTCAGCTGGACCAATCTGGAATCATCTGGGAAATGGACCACTGGGCATGCCCACGGGGGCTACTTTGTCTGTGTTAATGGAGGAAGGAGGGAAGGTGTTGTGGGTGGCACTTGTCTCTGGCTGGGATCTGGGTTTATGTAAGTAAAGAAAGGCTGGTGAGCAACAGCAGCAGGCATTCATGTGTGTGAACTGGAGTAAGCACGTTCTCCCTTAAGTTGGTTTTGCAGGGTGGTCTATCGCAGCAGTAGGAAAGGGAAGGAAGTCAGTCTCCTAAGAACAAAGGTTGACAGTAGAATTGGGAAGGAAAGCAGACTTGACACCAGATAGATGGCTCTGCTGTGTCACAAGAGCACCTTTTCTGTGTTCCCAGTAACATCAGAAAACTTAAATTTAGGGACACCTGCTTCTGTAACTGTTTCTTACTGCTGTTATTTTGTCCCCTCAGGATGCTCGACATGCAGCAGAAGGAGAAATATACACCAAACTCAATCAAAAAATTGATGAATTTGTTCAGCTGGCTGACTATGACTGGACGATGGCTGAGTCGGACGGAAGAGCGAGTGGATATCTGATGGATCTTATTAATTTTTTGAGAAGCATTTTTCAAGTGTTTACTCATTTGCCTGTAAGTATAATCGATGTCAGATACTCTAAGTTTGCTTTCTAAAATACATTTCAGAATTTAATTTTGGGTCCTTCCTTGTTTAAAACAACCTTGTAGTTTGCACATTTTTTTCATTACTTTAATTTGATAAAGAATCTAGCTGAAGTTGATTGAGGTTTAATTCATTGTACATTTTAACTAAAATTACTATAACTTTCCATTAAAAGTAAATCAAACCCCTGAAATTAACAGTATAGGTTTAAATAGAAATACTCTTTAATAGGAGTTTGTGTGAAAGTCAATATAATCAATAGTTTTTTCTAGCTTACATTTAAAATTAGATATTTTAGCCGGGCGTTGGTGGTGCACGCCTTTAATCCCAGCACTCGGGAGGCAGAGGCAGGCAGATCTCTGTGAGTTCGAGGCCAGCCTGATCTACAGAGCCAGTTCCAGGACAGCCTCCAAAGCCACAGAGAAACCCTGTCTCGAAAAACCAAAAAAAAAAAAATTAGATATTTTAAATTATTTTATTTATCTATTTATTTGTCTCAGATGACTCTAACTTGTGTCAAGGTGACAGAAAACTAGCCAACACGTCCTATTACATAAGATATCACTAAATTTAAAAATAAAGTATTTAACATGGAACCTAAAGAAATACTGCTAGTCATTTCCCCTGTTTCAAATGAAAAAGCAACAGCAAAAAGCAACCCCAGTGTTTCCAACATCAATGACTCTTGTTGTAAATAGTTGAATAAAATAGTTTAAGGAAAGGGTACAAGAAGAAAAAAACTTTAAATTATACTCATTCTATAAAATGACATAGTTGTACATATGTCAGGTATTTAAATCATAGTTATCCCACCGTTATCTAATGCAAACAATACTCCTTTCAAGTGCCTGGCTGTAGCACTCCCCAAGTTACAAGAATGACTGTCTAGGGTTTTTAGTGCAGTGAAGAGACACCATGACCAAGACAACCGTATAAGGAAACCGTATAAGCCATAATTGAGGATGGCTTCCTTACAGTCTCAGAGGGTCAGTCCATTGTGACGGGGAGCATGGTGACGTGCAGGCAGACGTGGTGCTGGAGCTGAGAGGCTTTATCTTGCAGGCAACAGGAAGTCAACTGCCACACTGAGGGAAGCTTGAGAAAAGAGACCTCAAAGCCCGCCCCCACAGTGACACACTTCCTCCAACAAGGCCATACCTCCTAATAGTGCCATTCTCTTTGGGGGGCATTTTCTTTCACACCACCACAGTGACAAAATGGATTCTTCACTTGCTGTGCTGCCAGGGTCACACCACAGTTCCCCGTCTGCTCCTGATCTTTGGGTTTAAGGCATGAGGGAACTGTGGGCTTATCCTGTGACCAGGACTGCTAGTGTTCACTAGAATGGCTGGCTTACCTTGTGCTTTTGGCTTTGGGTCCTCAAAAACGGAAAGCCAGGGTTGGGTCTCAGGTTGTTACCCACTTTTCTTTGCGTAGCCTCTGTGTTTCCTAATTTCTCTGCTCCTGTACCTCACCTTTCATGATTCCTGATCCTCTTCTTTGTCTGTCTTTGGAATATAGTATGTTCCTTGTGTCCCTTGAGTCTTCTTATTCATAAACTTCCATGGAGGAAGATTTTCCCCACACTGGAAATCCTGTAGTTTCTGTTTTGTTTTTAGCAAAGACGACTTGCAGAGTTTACATGGCTTTCCTTTATAGGTACATATAAATATGGTGTGTGTGTGTGTGTGTGTACATGTGTTTATATACATGCATTTGCTAAGCCTTTTTCCCTACATAGGAATATGACTAGGGTATTTATGTATACTTTTTGTTTGATTAGCATTTTTCTCAGGGCTCTTCTCCTTAGAACAAGCAGAAATGAAGCTAGTCATGGAGTTAAGATCTGATCTTTCAGAGATGATTTATTTTCTTTTTTAAAAACTTGTGGATTGTTTTTGTTTTTGTTTTGAGACAGGGTTTCTCTGTGGTTTTGGAGACTGTCCTGGAACTAGCTCTTGTAGTCCAGGCTGGTCTGGAACTCACAGAGATCTGCCTGCCTCTGCCTCCAGAGTGCTGGGATTAAAAGCGTGTGCCACCACTGCCCGGCGATTTTTTTTATTTATTTAGATGTTATGTGTGTGCATTTGTGTGTATATGTGATGTGTGGGTCCCGACAGAGGACAGAAGAGGCCATCTGATCTCTTGGAGCTGGAGTTACAGGCAGTTGTAAGATGGCTACTGTGGGAGATAGGAACAAACAGGTTCTCTGTCAGAGCAGCTAGTGATTGATCTTAACCGCTGGGCCCTGTATCCAGCTTCTGGAGCCACTTTCTTCTGATGTGACCTGTGCAGTTGCTCCCCAGGTGGGAGGCTTCTGGGTGGGATTTGATAGTCTACTGTTGTTAGCTTCAAGTTCCTAAATTTTGAATGAAGGACTGCATATTTTCATTTTGCACTGACTCCCCAAATCATGTGTTATTTCCTGCCTTCCCCCTTTCTTATGCCTACCACACTCTCCCCTTCCATCCCCTTCCATCTCCTTACCCCTTTCCCTCTTATACTTCCTCCTCCTTTGTTCTCCCTGTGTCTCCAGCTTCAGCTGTCCCCAATTGTTCTCCAGGCTGTTTCCCTGTTCTCCACTCTCATTTCTGTTGCTCTCATATTTGCCTTCTCTGTGCCTGTAGATCTGGCTTTTAGCTGCACTGCAGTTCTCTGGTCATGTTCAGTGAACGCACAGTGACTGTCCCTGCTATGCTCCGTCGCCTTCTGTCTTCCAGAAAGCATTTTTCACTTTCCCTCTGCTTTTGAATAATGAGTCTTTTAAAAAGTAATTTGGTACTTTCTATTTTGCTTGTATATTAGAATGCAAAACACACATGCTGTCTGCTCTGCCATCTTGATTTTTTTATGTGCATGAGTGTTTTGCCCACGTGTGTGTGTGTGTGTAAGTGCATCACATATGGGTAGTGCAGACAGAGACCACCAAAGAATGTAGGAGTCTCTGGAACTGGAGTTTTAGGTAGTTGTGAGTCATCATCTGGGTTCTGGGAAGCAGACTCAGGACTTTCTTTACCTTTTGTTGGTTCAGTTTTTGTGAGTTACACCTGTTCTCTTCACTGAAAATTGTAGAGGGAACTTTAAAACCAAGAGTAGAACCATTGGATTTATTATCTTTTCTTTTATGTGACCAGAAAGAATTATACTAAAAATTCTTAACATTACTATTGCTCTGGAGCAAAGAACCCTGTTTAGAGAACTGGCTTTTGTTAAGTCTGCCAGTTTAGCACACATTGAGTAACTGTGAAAGCTCATTATGTTAATGTTGACAGGCCAACTTTGTTATATGTAAGTATGGAGAAAACTGATTAATGTGAGTGTAAAACTCACCTATAAGTCTTCAAAGTGAAATGACCATCACGTGCGTGTGGTAACTAATGCCTTTCCATGATAGCAACACAGACTCTACTTGTTTTATTGTGTATTTAGTTTTGCTCTTTGGATGAGATCTTACTTCTGTTGTAATTAGAATGTGTTTCCCTTTTTCATTTGATTGCCTTGCTTACTTCCTTCTCCGACTAAGGCAAACACCAATGATTATGCAGCCATGTCAGTAAGTAGATACAAGCTAAAGTCAGCATGTAAATTAGAAAATGATGAACTTCCTGCAGGCTTATTTTTCCCAGAGAAAAATAAGTATTTAACTTATAATTTTTTTGACATTGCTCTTAATATATTTGTACTGTGTGGAAGCATAAAGTTTGAAGATAATGTTAGTTGTTTGGGTAAGACAGGATTTTCTGGAATTTATTTTGAAAGGCAATTGGAAATATCTATGGGCAGGACAGTGCTTTAGGGATTTCTCTGAGGTTGTCCCCTGTAAACTGATGAATGAGAATATGCCTACATGATTCTTTTGTGAGGATTGAATTTAATGGGACACATACCATGTTTAGAAGAATGCCTGGCATCTAATCGAGTCTCAGAAACCATTAGCTGTTAGCACCATCTACTTTGAAGACTGAATGTTCTTTTTCTACAACAGTATACCACCCCACACTTGTGGAAATTAGCCAAGTGCATAAGTCAAAGGCGTTCACAAGCCCATGGGATAAATGAGCCCATGCTATTCATTATCCTATGTGATCTATGAGTCCACGCTGTTCATGAGTCTGTGTGATTCATGAGTCCATGTGTTAGTGACAAAGCTTTTCCTGGGGTGATGCAACACATAGTAGCCTAGGTCTGGGGTCGTTCACAGATTCACCAGTCTGACCATGAATACATTTTAACAAAGAAGAGGTTTAATTCGTATATTGGTTCGAGGTCTCCAAGACTGAGAATTCCTGAATGCAGCATCCAGACACCTCAGTCGGGTTTACAAAGGCAAAGATCACAAAGTTAGATTCTGTTTAGGTGTGAGCAGAAGGTCCTCTCTTGAAAAATGAGCTTCTGTTTACAGAAGCAGGGAGAACAGTAAAAAATTAACCCTTAGCAGCCCTTAACCTTTGGCAGTCTAATTTTGCTTTATTCTCTTAAGCACAGTGATTTTTGTGGGTTTTGTTTTGAGACAGAGTTTCTCAGTGTAACAGTCCTAGCTGTCCTGGAACTTGGCTTTGTAGACCAGGCTGGCCTCGAACTCAACAGAGATCCACCTGCTTCTGCTTCCCAAGTGCAGGGGATTAAAAGTTTGTACCACCACCATCTGGCTTTAGATTTAAAATTTTTAAAGTAGAGTTAGCCAGCAATATGTTAGCCATTACAGGACACCACTAAAATTAAACAGCCAACCATTGAGTTTTATTGGGATTGCTTACAGGATCATAAATGACTCAAAGACAGCTGCATCACCAAAGCTCACCCCAACATGGGTAACAGCTCACAAAGGCTAGGAATCTGGAACACATTTCACAGCCTGCAGGCAGCTCATCAAGTCAAAGAGACTAAGTGACTCAGTTGGTGCAGTCTCTTCCAGGCAGCTCAGCTGGTTTCTGCTTCTTCTAGGCAGCCCGTTTGGCCTCAGTGTCTT